GAAATTAGCTTCAAATTTGAGACTCAGCTCGTTTTTGTCTGTGTTTTGACTGAATCTGCTGAGTTCTTGTGTGTCCAATAGTGTTTGTTTGTTTTTATTTTTTATTTGTTTTTTGTTTGTTTATTTTTTCCCAGGATAGAGGATAAAATCCACTGATATTGATTTGATGATTATGAGTTTAATGCATACATTTTCTTTGTTTTTAATAATTTTTTAAAGTTTTTTTTAGGATTTTTTTTTTCTTCTTTTTCCACTTTATTGATTGATCGATTTGAGTGATCACATGTGATTATGTGATCAAAGGGGAGGGTATTAGTATTAGATAGCAATATGGCCTACGTGCAGGACTGTACAAGGACTCTACAAGGACTCCATGTTATGACTATGATTTGACTGTCTCTTTGTGACACGTATGTCTTTCGATGTGTGACGTGACAATGACTATATAAACTGTGTACTGCCTTTATTCTGTCTGAGAGAAAGAAACAGAGTAAACCAGTGGAACTTGAGAGAAACTTAAATAAACTTCCAGAGTTTGGCACACCACGATCCGTCTCTGTCTGCTTGAATCCTAACAGATCTCAACACCATCACCGCCTCAAAGGATCTCAACACCACCACCACCTCGAAGGATCTCAACACCTCCACTGTCATCAGAAGCAGCTGCATCATCACCAGCAGCAGCACCAGCAGCACGACCACCACCACCAACATCCTCATCCCCAGCCTGCTCCAAAGCAGCCACGCCTTCTTCATCTACAGCGCCTCTGAAGCCCCCATCCTCACCCCAGCCTACAGCAGACAGGCCTGTGCTGGGGTTTCCTCAACCACCTGCCCCTCCATCAAAGACTCCCTCGCCACCTCCCATGGACCTGTCTTGGGTCCCCCCTGCCACGTCCACTCCATCAAGAGAGAATGGGGACACCTCCCTTTGTTTTTCATCCCCGCCTTCACTGTTAGACCTACCTGAACACTCTGCAGGGCTAATAAAATCGGCGATGAAGACTATTCCTCTCACACCCATATTAGCTCGATCTAGAGTCCTGTCCAACATGCTAAACCACTCCCCATATGTACCTCCAAAACCACCTAGGGTTTCCAATTCACCTACAAAAACCACCTCAGCCAGTCCCTCCCCTAACCTCATGACCATTCCACCCCCACTTCCCCCTCGTTCAACATCCAAAACCTCTGCCTCAGCCCACCCCGGCCCTAACCCATCACCTAAAACCCCTCCACCTCCCTGCCCCCCTCGTTCAACACCCAAAAGCCACCCACCTCTCCATCCTCCTCCCCTGCCTTCCCCTTCCCCTCTTTTCTCTAAACACTAGGATGCACAGGGTCTCTGCTTCGCAGCCACTGGCAGTCTAGTTAGAGGAGAGACCCGGCTGGGGCCCTGTCATGAAGCCACCTGTGCCATTCCCTTAGTGATAACACAAAGAATACATTACAGAAAAACATCTGGAGTTAATCAGTCTAATCTGGAAAATCTAATTCTTGTTCCGTGTAAGAATCAGCCGACCGCAACCGCTGATACTGAAACTTTGAAACTTGCTATGCTAAATGTCAGATCTCTTTGTAACAAGTCTTTTTTAATCAATAATTTTATTTGTTCTCATAATCTTGATCTTATGTTCATGGCTGAAACTTGGCTTGACCAAAATTCAGAAAATGCAGTTTTAATAGAAGCATCACCACCAAATTTCAAGTTTGAATCTGAAATACGGGAAAACAAAAAAGGAGGAGGCTTAGCTGCCATTTTTAGAGACCACTTTGTCTCCCATAGAATGTCTCTTGGGAAGTTTTTGTCATTTGAATATGTGTCTTTTAAAATACAACAAAAACAATCTCCTCCAATACTCTTCGTTGTCCTATACAAGCCACCGCAGTCATGTCACAGTTTTATTGATAATTTTACCGAGTTGCTTTCAGTTGTATGCACAGATTTTGATAGTTTGGTTATTACAGGTGATTTTAATATTCATGTGGATAATGTTGATGACAGAAATGCAAAAGAGCTGAGTTCTGTACTTGAATCCTTTGATCTCACTCAGTTACAAAGGGGGTGATTATTTCAAATGTAAACGTGGTCGATGTTGCTCTTTCGGATCATTTCTGTGTTTTTTTTTACATGTGTTTCACTAACAAACCACCAGTGGACTCTGCAACTGTCCGAAGAAGGCGCATAAATGAAAATACGAGTGAACTATTTATGGAAATGATAAACTTTGAGAATGCATCGTATTCTACTGTAGATGAACTGTTTAACTCTGTCACCTCTAGTGTTTTGAATGTTCTGGATACCGTTGCCCCTGTGAAGGTTAAAATAGTGAAAAATAAGCAGAAGGCGCCGTGCAAGCAGACTCGGTCAGGGCACAAAAGAGAAAGTGCCGGAGGGCAGAGCGGAAGTGGCGCAAGTCCAACCTCCAGGTAGATTACGAGATCTTCAAAGATAAGTTGTGCGAGTTTAACCGGGTGCTACGTAGTACGAGAGAAAGGTATTTTTCTGAAATGATTGAAGGCTGCAGCAACAATCTGCGTGTTCTGTTCTCAACAGTTAATAGATTAACAAACCCCCCTGTTCAAATGCCATTAGAGCTTACTTCCAAACGTAAATGCAATGAGTTTTAATTTTTTCAATGACAAGGTTCAAGGCATCAAAAACGCCATTGTCTCCAATCCACAGATAACCATCCAACAGCCAGAGCTAACTTACTTTGCACCTGTAAATGATCAAACTGTCCAAGAGATAATCTCCAGTCTGAGCTCCTCCACATGCAGCCTGGATATACTACCCACTAGATTTCTGAAGTCTGTTCTGAGCAGTCTGTTACCTTCACTCACACAGATAGTAAACATGTCCCTTCATTCTGGAATATTCCCAAAGGCCCTGAAAACTGCAGTCATCAGGCCCCTGCTAAAAAAGAGCAGTCTCGATGCTACGGTACTTAACAACTATCGTCCCATCTCAAATCTGCCATTTTTGGGGAAAGTCCTTGAGAAAGTTGTCTACCTACAGCTTACTAGATTTCTTATAATCAACAACTCATTTGATATGTTTCAGTCCGGCTTTAGACCCCACCACAGCACTGAGACTGCTCTCGTTAAGGTTACAAACGATATCCGGCTGAACACTGACGCAGGCAAAGTCTCAATCTTAATCTTGTTAGATCTAAGTGCTGCCTTTGACACCGTCGACCATGAGATCCTCTTACAGAGACTAGAGGACTGGGTTGGCGTCACTGGCACCGCCCTAAGTTGGTTTAGGTCTTACCTTGAAGACAGGAAGTACTTTGTGGAGATTGGAAACTGTGTCTCAGATCATATGGCCCTGACCTGTGGAGTCCCACAGGGGTCGATCCTGGGACCTCTTCTGTTCAATCTCTACATGCTGCCGTTAGGTCAGTTAATACGCAGAAACAAAGTTTCCTATCATAACTATGCAGACGACACTCAGATCTATGTCTCACTGACTGCAGGAGAACATGGACCAGTGGACTCACTCCTTCACTGTATCCAACAGATCAGTGAGTGGATGCAAAACAACTTCCTTCAGCTAAACGCAGACAAAACTGAAATGATTGTCTTTGGTCCCCAGAAACAAAGAGAGAGCGTCATCTGTCACCTACAGTCTCTCTCCCTAAAACCTTCAAACAAGGTCAGAAATCTAGGGGTAATACTGGACTCAGACTTAAATTTTAATAGCCACATCAAATCAGTAACATCAGCAGCTTTTTACCATCTAAAAAACATTGCCAGGATCAAAAACATAGTGTCTAAAGCAGACCTGGAGATTCTTATCCATGCATTTGTCTCCAGTAGGTTAGACTACTGCAATGGCCTGCTCACAGGTCTGTCCAAACAGGCTGTAAAACAGCTGCAGTACATTCAAAATGCAGCAGCTCGAGTCCTGACTAGAAACCAGGAAGTACAACCACATTAGTCCAGTTCTCAGGTCTCTGCACTGGCTTCCTGTGGCTCAGAGAATAGACTTTAAAACAGCTCTGCTTGTGTACAAGTCTCTCCATGGCCTCGCACCAAAATATATTAGTGACATGTTAGTCCCATATGAACCAGCCCGGACTCTGAGGAGCACAGGGACTGGACTCCTGTTAGTGCCCAGAGTCAGAACTAAACATGGGGAGGCTGCTTTTCAGATTCATGCCGCTAAAATCTGGAACAGTCTTCCTGAAGATGTGAGACAGGCCTCCTCTCTGGCAATGTTTAAAACCAGGTTAAAGACAGTTCTGTTTAACTGTGCATACAACTGAGGGATTTTATATGTTTATCTTTCTTTTTAATGTTCTGTGATAATTTATGATTGTAATGCTTTCTTGTTTTGTTCAGCACTTTGAATTGCCTTGTGTATGAATTGTGCTATATAAATAAACTTGCCTTGCCTTGCCTTGCCTTGCCTAAATTTAAATTGACCCAAGTTGGAGCAACCATCTGTGAATATTTAAAGATATGGAAGTGTGATGTTGGTGAATAAAGAGAGGTGTGTGTGAAAAGAATTGAAACACGTGACGTAAGCCGGAGTAAATCTAAAATGTACTTGTGCCGACTCAGAAAAGGCCCTTAACTCATTGACCGCCTGCCGTTTTTGTTGATTTTACTGATTCTCAAGACCCACAGAATATTATTTACTAAAACTATGTAAAATATGAAACCAGATTCTGAAAGACTGGATTGTCTACTTTCATCAGCAAAAATAAGTTTGTTTCTAGCTATGTTTGTTGTCCTGTAATCCCCAGTGGAATAGAGGGTTTCAAACAAATACGTCAATGGCAGTCAATGAGTTAAACGTTTGTGATTTACCACAGTATGCTGCTGATCGGCTCTTTGGTTACTAGGTAGTTGCCATGAGAGAATTTGGCTCCACATAGCCCTCCATTTTTTTGAGAGAGCACAAATCAACTTCATGGAAAAGGAAACCACTCTCAGTTTGTTCCTTCCTTCTGTCCGCAGCCAAAATCTGCCTCCCTAAACTGAAGACTTACTTCCAGTGAAGGCAATCCAGCGGGCGTATTTGGTAGCCTCTCGGCGCCAGTGTGATGCCACCAGCAGTCCACATGTGACGGTGAGGGAGATGATGCCCATGATGATAAAGAAGAGCGTAGTGACCCACTCGGGAGGCAGCCGCGGGGGGATGCAGGTGCGGTCACGCCCATGAATGGTCTGACACTGCCGGACCAGGCCCACCGTCAGCGCACCTAAAACACAGACACAAGTAAACAACCGATTTATGCCATTTACATTTTTTTATTTAGACAACTGAGAAAAGTACTATGGCCTTACAATTGAACTGTAACACTCTGAATCAAATACCATCAACATAATGAAAAATCAATTATCAATAGAATCTAAAACAAGTATTGACAGTTGATAGTTAGTAGTATAGGTAGTATTGATACAGAAAAAAAATCACATTGACGGAAAAAAATGAAATTCTTTGAGCATTTTTTGAGTACAAAGAAAAAAAAAGTGATATAAAAACCACTATAATGTGTTATGTATAGAATTACAGCCAAAATGATTGTGTTACTGTCAAAAAATACTACGCTGCAGTAAAACTTGACATTGTGCGTGTATTAAAGAGACTATAATTTTTCTCGAAGCTTGGAAAAGGCACATTCAACCGTTTTTAATAATAAAACAGTGAAGTTGAATGAATAAATAAACATGAAAAGGAGTCTAGAGGACGGAGCTCTGTTCCAGACGACAACAGTTTCCCCTCTTACAAAAATAGTCTCGCTTGGACGTGTTTTTAGCGTTAATTTGCATGAAAACATTGAGCGCTACTGTGTCCAGGTAATCTCTGTGGATTGAAGGTCTATTTCCTGTACCTAATCAGTTTCAGATAAAATTGTGTGTTTATTAATAACAACACAAACAATCAGTTATAGTGACAAAACAAAATGGAAAACGTGAACCTGTCTTGGTTGAAATCAGGTTTAAAGTGTAAAGTAGCAGCGTGGGCTTTTCTCTTGTGCGGCTGCTTCTCTGGAGAAATGCCATCTAATTAAACACGGGGCCCAAAGTGACTTCCTCCTGAGTAAGCAGATCCACATCACTGCACAGTTTCCCCATCACACCCCTCATGCACTCAAGAGGATAATACAATCCAATCCACTTTATTTATATAGCACAGTTTATAAAGTTTCCAAAGTGCTGCACAGAGATAAAAGTAACACATGTATAAATAATAAAATAAGTAAAACATGATGATGTATGAAGTAAAAACAATAAAAATCAAATAAAAACAATAATATACCAGTTATCCATACAACAAAATAAAACTAACAATCAAAATATTAAAAAATAAATAAACACAAGTGAACTAGTCTTTCAAAAAGTGCAGAGATAAGAAACAGGTTTTAACAATAACAGTACAAAAATATATTATAATTTATTCCGTGTGACTCTGTAGTAAGTCCAAGCACAGTGTTAACAAGAGAAAAAAATCATTCAGGAGAATAAAAATAGCTCCATCACAGCTTCATTTGAGATGCGGTTCTCAATTGTTGCCATGACAACATTTCTACATAAGAAATAACATCGATGAATCTATAGCGCTAACGGCCGATGATCGTGTTTTCGCGGATTGAACCATTACACATTTTAGATAAATAGAAAAGGTAGGGATATATCATTAACTGTTTAGACTTGATTGCTAATTGCTTAACAACATTTATAATGACAACACTGAAAGCTAATAGAACTAAACCTTTGGTCTTGTTGTCCATTGATTTCAAGACGTTTTATTTAGTTATGGATGTATCATTGTTTCTTGTGAAGCCTTGAGTTAAAGCAGAGAAGAGCATATGGGTTAGGGGCAGCAGAAAGAAGAATAAAAGAACTGGACATGGGCTAAAAACTCAAATGTATAGTATCAATCTCTGGTATTACTAATACTTTCAAAAGTTGCACCAAAAAGTACAGTACATATGGTGTTTGTGATGTGTTAAGTTACTCGCACATGTTTTAGGACTTATTTCCACTGTATTTTGTGGGCTCCTGCTGTTTCACTGGTTCATAGTGAAATTCCTTCCTACACTACAGTCCCACACTGACAATAGACACAGGGCAACACTCAACAGCCTCCCAACTTTTCAATAACTAACTAGATTATAGACAAGATATGAAGAAAACATAACCTTTCTTTGTCCCACAGTGAGTAAATGTCAAATTACAGGAATAAAAGGAGAACCCAATGACCTGAACCAACCAACAAATAAATATTTTTTACCCAGACATTAACTACTATAACACTGGGTAACAGTGTTATACAGTAAAAATATTTTTTGAAAATAGTCCAGGGTTTTCCAGCTGAATTAGACTAATTTTGATGCTCTGAGTCCGAAAATGACCTTGGTTTTGCTCAATCAGGTCAGGATTTGTTGCTACAGAAATATTTTTTTTAAATCGATTTTGCGTAAAAAACAAATTTTTGCGGATCATCAGATGAGAAACCCTTGACGTTTTTTCCGTTTTCCTCAAGAAATAAAAGTCAACGTATCCAAAGTCATTCAGTTTTTATTTACTCCATCAAATTTGATAAGCAGAATTCATAATAACGTAGACGTACATAATCCGTAACACTATGGCTGTATCTCAAAAAGTTGACGTGATAGAGCAAAATGCATGTGATATTCGGACTCAGAACACAAACATTTGTCTAAATCAGTTGAGAAACCCCTGACCATTTTTTGGCTGTCAACTTGTGTAATCAATGGTGACACTGCACAATGCATGATACAAAAGGACTTCTCTAGAGAGACTCAAAACACCAGCACTTGAAACGAACGCTAGACTCAACATTAAAAGTCCACAACAATTAAGCCGCTGACGTGAAGGGCTTTGTATTTCTCGTTTCTCTCACTCACAAGACAGAAGAGACAAGCAGTAATTACACCGCTGTCCTCTGCACTTCTAAGTAAATTATCACATCTCGGGCTCCATTTGTTTGTTGTGCAGCTTCCTATTTTCAGACCACACTAGAGTCACTGCAGCTCCATCAGCTGCCTTGTGCTGTCCATACTTTGGCTGAGAGAAGATGCTTATTACGTGTTAGCAGCTATTAAATCAATGTTTTTCAGGCTACACAAGATAATTATTTTGACTGTACTAAATAGTGTCTCCATTTGCCAATAAATGAAATGTAATAAGTGCGATGTATGTATTTTGATTGTCGTAAAGCAAAGAATTTGGACACAGCCCGATCACCAATGGCTTATGTTGATGCAGGAAATACAAGGGACATGTTTTTATGCGATTAGGGCTGCTGTTAGAACAAGTTACAGACGTATTATTATGACTTTAAGAAGCCATAGGACGCACGTTTATTGTCAAAATAGATAGGTAAATTAGATCATAACAAGTCAACTGTTTGTTATATCACCTTGTAATCTATTGGCTTTCTTTTACTCCATTAGCGGTCTGTCAGCTGGGAAAACCTGATAAGTATTTTTAACTTTTATTTGAACATTCAGAACAGTCAGAGGAGGCCACCAGCAGGAGGCCAGTCCCTGTGCTCCTCAGAGTCCCAGCAGGAGGCCAGTCCCTGTGCTCCTCAGAATCCCAGCAGGAGGCCAGTCCCTGTGCTCCTCAGAGTCTCAACCAGCTCATATGGCACTAACGTGTCACTTATATACTTTGGAAAAAGGCCATGGAGAGACTTGTGCACAAACAGATCTGCTTCAAAGTCTATTCTTTGAGCCATAGGAAGCAAGTGCACAGACCTGAGGACTGGACTAATGTGATCGTACTTCCTGGTGATAGTCAAGTCTCGAGCAGCAGTGTTTTGAATATAGCCGTTTTACAGCTCGTTTGGAGAGATATGTGAGCAGGCCATTACTGTAGTAGTCTAACCTGCACAAGAATAATCTGTGGATAAGAATCTCCAATATGGCCATTTTTGAAATGCCTTGGATTTATTTGGCTAATAAATTCTTTCATTTACTTGTTTGCTTTATTCATTTAAAATAACTAAAATTGTTTACCAAATTAATTGAGTAAAAATTTTGGGTATCATGGTAAGTGTGAAAATCGAATCGCATAGTTAGCTTTAGCAGATGGCAAACTGGAATCGAGATGCATCGTGATAAAGTACTTAATTGAATCGCATCGTATCGGTGGGTTTAGATGGTGAACCTTTAATGAATCGGATCGTGACAAGTGTATCAAGATGTAAATGGAATCGGACAGAGACCCAAGATTCCCATCCCTACTATAAACCCACGCTCACCACAACATCAGACTTTAAGTAGAGCCAAAGATCAGCCCAGGTCACAACCCAGTCTAAAGTGCTAGGACTGACTGTGGTTGACACTGGGACAAAACAAAGACGTGAGTTTTGGACTGAAATAAAAAAGGACGTGTAAAAACTGAGCGATTTTTATCTTCCCTCTTTTTAATGTACAGTGATTATTTATGATTGTAATGCCTTGTTTAATTGTATTTTTTTATTATGTTGAGTTGCATTGAGCATAAATTGTGCTTTACAAATAAACTTGCCTTGCCTTACCTGTATTTGTATATAACCCGTGTGTGTAACAAACACAAAGGACATATCTTGTGTACGGCCGTGTTCATGTGTGTGTAGTAAATGTTGGCAGGAGGCTCTGGTCACGTGGTGCAGGATATTGGTGCGAAAACACAGCTGAGGGACAAAAGATGATGCAGATTACAGCCCACAGACAATGGCCAGTGTGGTGCTGTGCGGTCTCCATCCAAATGTCGCTCCCATATAACAAACAAGACTCAATCTGTTTTTTTAATAAGTTTCACCCCTCTAATATGACATAAAAAGCTGCTGTGCGTATATTTAGCCTACCTGCTGATTCACCCGTGTTGATCCAGTCTGGGTTTGCGATGCTGGCGATTGCAAAGATATCGGCAGCCAGAAATAGACAGCCTGAAATAATGGTTAGTTTATCCATATCAGCAAATTGCAAGAGGAGGTGAAGGCGGCGGAGGGGTAACGCGGGTGCTGTCCAAATTTACAGCCGAGGGCAAGGGGACGCAGGCCGGGTGCTGTGTTCAACCTCGCCCCCCTTGTTTTACCAAAAGTCAGGAGCCCCCCAAATGTAAAGGGCCCAGGAGAGACAGCCTAAACATCACATTTCAGTCCCTCCGCGTTGTCCAGAAGGGGGGACTAGTTCTTGGGCGTAGTAATACCCCCAACACGGTGATATTTGTCCTTTAAATCCGCTGTCCGGGGGCTGCATTGGGCATAGCTGCAGCGGCTAGCGCAGAGCTACACAGACCAGCGGCCCATAGCCTTCTGCTCCACATCTCGGACAAGCCAGCAGCAAATACACGCAATTACCCACACCTTTCAGTCCTCAATGTGGTGTAAAAATAAAACGCGTTAGCCGTCAGGGAAACAAGCAGCCGTGTGTTTTTTGTTTGAAGCAGCCATGTCCCTTCGCATCTGGACCGCTCCACTGCAGACTGGCTGTGGTCAGATCACCTCATCGCGTCCTCCTCCGGGGCCAAGCGAGATACGAATAAATTATCTTAAACTTTTCGTCAAATCCGCTTGCTGCTCACGGGGCTGTGTTATTGTTTTGCTGTACAGTGATCAAGTCCGTCCCTAGACCAAAAATGACATCACGCGAGTCCCCCCCCCCAAGCAGCGACGCAAGACCACAGCACAAACACAGCCAACTCTCGTGCGTCAGGGGTGTAGGGCACATCTCGCGAGAACTACAGAGGGAAAGAGAGCGAGAGAGAGAAGGGGGGTGTCCGGGGTGTCATGCCCAACTGGAGGTACGCTGACATCTTGGGGTACGTCAGGGTATTACAGGGGGTATCATTCATGTACGGCAATCAATGCTATTATATTCATGTCACACATTCCCTAGATTGAAATTGTGCACACAAAACCCCACAATGCAATTCATGGTAATACTTGGTCTATGGTTAAATAAATACACTTTTTTCAAAATACCTATAGAGTAGAAATAAATAACCAGATTTAGGAATCTATGTCCTATCTATAAAAGATAATGGACTTTGAGAAAAACATAAGAAAGCCTGAGAAAACAACCCCGACCATAAAGAGTTTTCCACTGGGGAGTGTGAATAATTGAGCCTACACAGGGTTTACACAGGGCCAAAAGGTCTGGAACCACTTAGACTAGATATGTGTTCACCAAATGGATTCATCCAGTGTGTTCAGAAAAGCCGACTTGAAGGAAGAACTTAAATACAGCAAAAATTGATAAAGTTAATCATTTAAAAAAAACACAATTTAGAACTCTACACCTTACAAATAAAGCATATTTTGGTCGCTCTGTTCTTGGTTTAGGCATGCAAATATATTTACATACACTAAAATGTAGCTATAATGCCTCAATAATTTGGATAAACATACTATACATAATTACAAGGCTCAGTAGATGTTAGAATTTCCCTTTAATTTACATAGATACAGTGAAATGAAAACAAATGATGTGTTGTCTTACACCTGCACAACAGTTGGGATTACAGCAGGGGACAAAACATTTGAGCGTGAATGTTTGTTGCACACATGTTCCTTTAAGCTCAGGTCCTTTCAAATTGAACAAGTCAATACGTTCATAGTAAAATATGACTTATTTTCCCGTATTTCATAATTCATCCACAAATGGTGTATTGGAGAGGAGTCCACTTGCTGCCATTGTTTTCTTGCCATCCATGAATGATTTTGCAGCCTAAAACAGATTTGAGTGAATTGTCATTTTGAGAAATAAATATTGTGAAGTTGCCATATAGTGGTTCAACATTGCTCACCGTGATCACATGTTCTGGTGTGACTGCTTGAATTGCCTCCAGAACAGCGTCTGGGGCCTGGTAGGTCCCTGTCATCAGAGCCTGCGCCCCCATCTCCTCCAGCAGACCTGCAGAGTCCTCAAGGGACATCAAATATTCCACCTTCACCTGGTTCCTTGATGAAGAGATGTATAGATCAGTCTTAGTGTACAAATGATGCAAATGAAAAGGCTTTCTCCACTGCTGCCCGGTGGTTTTTGACCTGGGGCATTGAAAGGTTGGCGTATCGCTCAGACCCGTGTCGACTTCATGCCACAGAGAAGATGAGAACGTGTCAAAATAAAAGGTCAAAACTAAATTCCAACTTACAATATCACTCTTCTACAGCACAGTGCACCCAGGGAATTATATTACACTTCAGCAAGCCTACCATCCTTGTGGAGCAACGTTCACATTTTCAAACATATGTACAGTGCCTTGCGAAAGTATTCGGCCCCCTCTAACCTTTCGCCACATTTCAGGCTTGAAACAAAGATATAACATTTTAATTTTTTGTCATGAATCAACAACAAGTGGGACACAATCGTGAAGTGGAACAAAATTTATTGGATAATTTGAACTTTTTTAACAAATAAAAAACTGAAAAGTGGGACGTGCAATATTATTCGGCCCCTTTACTTTCAGTGCAGCAAACTCACTCCAGAAGTTCAGTGAGGATCTTTGAATGATCCAATGTTGTCCTAAATGACTGATGATGATAAATAGAATGCACCTGTGTGTAATCAAGTCTCCGTATAAATGCACCTGCTCTTTGATAGTCTCAGGGTTCTGTTTAAAGCGCAGAGAGAACCATGAAGACAAAGGAACACACCAGGAAGTAGTGATGGCAATATGAAGCCCCATGAAGCCTTGAGGGATAGCAGCCTATTACTCGGCCCATGAGTCGAAGGCTCGAGGTGAATCATGCTCCACTACGCCATCATGTGGACAAAGAAATACATAACACTCTTAAGTGCTTACAATGAATGGTGAGATCTAATGTTAAAATTTATATTTACAATCTATGGTCTAACGTGTTGAGTTTGAAATGATGCTTCATGAACTATGAACTATTTGAGTCTTTCAGTCAATTGTGTTGATACAACAAACACATCCAAAGTAATACAGTTCTACAGAAAGTGATTAATGGAGGAAAAACTACCAAGAGGTGGATTAATTAAACACAACAAACCATTTATTCCCAATAAATAGTAAGTAAGTAAGTAAGCTTCATTTATATACCGCCTTTCACAGACCAGAGTCACAAAGCGGTTTACAATTGTTATTTTTTTGGGCACTTGTCTCTCACTCCACACAGAGATGGGAGCGGGGTCGCCGAACAGGAGGCGCATGCCAGACCTATTGTACATATTTTTAGTGGTAGGGGAAACCGGAGTACCCGGAGGAAACCTACGCAGACACGGGGAGAACATGCAAACTCCAATCAGAAAGGCCCTGGTCCGGCCGGGATTCGAACCCAGGACCTTCTTGCTGAGAGGCGAGAGTGCTATCCACTCAGCCACCGTGCCGCCCAATATATAATACAAATAATACATAATACGAATAAATACATTTACTTTGCAACACAAAATTTATTATGGGTAGACCAGGATTCGAACGCTATATCTTCTGCTTCGGAGTCCGTCATAGACCGACTGCGCCACACAGCTGTTATGAAATGTATTATCCAGCGTATTATTACTAATAACTTGAAGCCTTGATATATGAGGTTTTACTAAAGTGAAAAGTTTTTAATTGTATTTCATATGAAGTAGTTTCTCTATACTTAGTACAGGACTGCTCCACATCACGCACACACACGTACGCACACACACACACGTACGCACACAGAGGCAGACGGGGACAGCCAATACAGTCTATGGTACAGCCGCGGATCACAAAGCACCTGTCAAAGCAATGCACTCTCCGAACTATATGAAGCACTATATGAACCGTCACGTGGTGCGGCCGCTACGCGAGGCTTCGAACGTCACCACACACGTGACCAATACACGCCTCGACCCACACTTCACAAGAAACGCCCCCAGATTACTCGGTCCACGCTTCGAAGACTCGGTCCGCTCAGCACATCACTACCAGGAAGGTCCGAGATACTGTTGTGGAGAAGTTTAAAGCCGGATTTGGATAGAAAAAGATTTCCCAAGCTTTAAACATCTCAAGGAGCACTGTGCAAGCAGTTATATTGAAATGGAAGGAGTATCAGACCACTGCAAATCTACCAAGACCCGGCCGTCCCTCCAAACTTTCATCTCAAATAAGGAGAAGACTGATCAGAGATGCAGCCAAGAGGCCCATGATCACTCTGGATGAACTGCAGATAACTACAGCTGAGGTGGGAGAGTCTGTCCATAGGACAACAATCAGTCGTGCACTGCACAAATCTGGCCTTTATGGAAGAGTGGCAAGAAGAAAGCCATTTCTCAAAGATATCCATAAAAAGTCTCGTTTAAAGTTTGCCAAAAGCCACCTAGGAGACACACCAAACATGTGGAAGAAGGTGCTCTGGTCAGATGAAACCAAAATCGAACTTTTTGGCCACAATGCAAAACAATATGTTTGGCGTAAAAGCAACACAGCTCATCACCCTGAACACACCATCCCCACTGTCAAACATGGTGGTGGCAGCATCATGGTTTGGGCCTGCTTTTCTTCAGCAGGGACAGGGAAGATGGCTAAAATTGATGGGAAGATGGATGGAGCCAAATACAGGACCATTCTGGAAGAAAACCTGTTGGAGTCTGCAAAAGACCTGAGACTGGGACGGAGATTTATCTTCCAACAGGACAATGATCCAAAACATAAAGCCAAATCTACAATGGAATGGTTCACAAATAGACGTATCCAGGTGTTAGAATGGCCAAGTCAAAGTCCAGACCTGAATCCAATCGAGAATCTGTGGAAAGAGCTGAAGACTGCTGTTCACAAACGCTCTCCATCCAACCTCACTGAGCTCGAGCTGTTTTGCAAGGAAGAATGTGTAAGAATTCCAGTCTCTCGATGTGCAAAACTGATAGAGACATACCCCAAGCGACTTGCAGCTGTAATTGCAGCAAAAGGTGGCGCTACAAAGTATTAGTGCAAGGGGGCCGAATAATATTGCACGTCCCACTTTTCAGTTTTTTATTTGATAAAAAAGTTTAAATTATCCAATAAATTTTGTTCCACTTCACGATTGTGTTGATTCTTGACAAAAAAAAATATTTTTATATCTTTATGTTAGAAGCCTGAAATGTGGCAAAATGTTGAAAGGTTCAAGGGGGCCGAATACTTTCGCAAGGCACTGTATAAAAGGAAAGAGGGGCATTCAAAACAAACTGTAGTGGCAAGAGCTTAACTCTTGTCACAAGGCTTGTTACGCTGTCATTATGCAAAGTATTGTGTGACTTAAGCGAAGACGGTTATAAAAACACTATCTACAAGCTATATTAGGCTTCTTAAGTGTACACACTGAACACCCCTCGGCAAAATATAGTTTTGCAAAATTGGTTAAATGCAGGTTAAGTGCTCCTGTGGACTCTGACTGCCACCCCCCCCCCCCGAACCCAGAAATGGATTAAAGGGAAGAAAATGGATGGATGGTTAAATGCAGTTCTTTTGACACACCATGGCACCTTGTGGTCATTGAAACTCCCATGTTTTTGTGCAGTGAGAATGAGGCTAATCATGAACTTACTTTGCTCTCTCAATATCAGCATCAGTTACATTGCCCTCAGCCACGTCTCTTATTTGAGAAACAGCTGCCTTGATCACCTGTAAGAATGAAAAAAAATGAATGAGACTTTATCAACTTGTCATTCTATTGTAACTAAAAGCGCCAACAATTCACAAATCCCAGCTGGCAGTTTGTTTTTCTTGAGTGCATGTAAATTATAGATAGTTACATTTTTAATTAGGAAAAGGAAATTGTATGTTTACCTCTCTTGCTGCACCTGCTTGTGAGATAGTATAGACACCAAATAGGCCAGAGTCTGAGTAGGAAGCAGTCATGGCAGTTGCCTAGATACAAATCCAAAGGTCATCTAATCTTCAAAGGCTTTCTCATTTATTTTATAGGACTGAATGTTTAGCACACATAAATAACAAATCAATATAGTAGATTTCACGCTCTACAAAAGCAAATATTCTCATTAAATTAAATTATTTGAATATGAACAAAAGCATCAGTAGAATCCGATTACAAAGGAAATGGCAGAAGGATCTTACATCGAATGGCTGTGACGTGGCTTTGGCGATGCCCTGGCTCAGCTTGCTAGTGGCATTGGAGCCTCTCTTCACATGAGGACCAGCTCCAAGAACGTGCTGCAGGACACTGAAGGCGTTGGACTCGGCACTTCCAGACACTGCGCCTTCACAGGCCACCACCAAGTGCACCAGCTCGTCCCGGCTGGGTATCCGGGCTTCACCTGCAGCAAACACAAAACAACATTATATGGAGGAGACAAGTATGACGTCAACAGCCTGGATCCTTCCCCCGAGGTTTCTCACAGGACAGTGGCAATGATCCAGATTAAACAGCATTTGTACATGGATTAACATTTATAGACTTCGGTCATAAATGTGGACCAATGGCTCTATGTTTTTTATTGTCGCATTTCCAGTGTTTGAACAGTTTGATTCTCAGATCCGTGTTGGCAAAACATTGCAAAGTCCTGCAATGTTTGTTAGAGCTGAACAAACTGAATTGAATTGACATCCTTTCTCACTTCAAGTTAAACTCTGAAGCAGATAAATCAACTTTTGCTTGGTTTTTTAGGCAATTCCCCATAATAATATCAAAAAGTATGTTTGCAAAGCACTAGCATTAGGGGTGAGTGAAAACTGGATCGCTCATCTACTCCAACTTAATTTGAACAAGACGCTTGTGCCCTGATTGAGGTGTGTTCATTTAGCATAACTTTCTACTGCGGTTGAGGGGGCATGTAACCACGTGAACCAGATTCTACCGAGACAGTGCCACCAGATGCATTCAAGAGTAGTAGCCATGCTTGCGTTAGAAATGTATGTATTTAGATGCATATGGGCTTCTCTTTTTGCTCATTGCAATAAACACATTCCAAAAAGGAGGGAACATTCCACATTTATTTGCGCTGCAGGAGTTAAACTATAGCCTTACCTCCACGGTACACAGCTCGAGATACGGGAGCTCCGGACCCACTGCGGGAACTCAGCAGCCCTTCTCCTAATTGTCTCAGAACAGAGTGATTGACACCTGAGGTAAACAAAAAATTATTAAGAGAATAAATCAGATATAAATCATCCATATCTAAAAAAAAAACAGATTTTATTTTTTTGACTTACCGAGTCCAACAAGAGCCATTCTGCCGGTTGTGAAATTGTGTTGAACAAATGCAAGCATCTGAGAAGACAATTAGCAGAAGTTGTAGTAGAAAGTTTTAAATGTGAAAATATGATTATTATCAAGAAACTGCAACTGCAGAGCCATACCTCTTCGGGAGTCACACGCCCAACCATAAAGTCCGGGCAGTACAGCGAATGGGACAAGGCATTTTTGTAAGCAGCATCGTGCAATTTCTCCAGCACACCTAAATGAAAATATTACGCAAATGTAAAAAATATTATCAAATACTTTTCTCTGTAGTATAATCACTTTCTTAGAAGACACAAGTGAGTGAGGATAATGTACCTATCTGAGGACACTGTTGAGCCATTGCTTTGTCAATTTTAACTCTTGTCGTCAGTTCGCTCAGCTCCCAGGGCCTGAACTCTTGGCCTGTGGTTACGAGGCTGAAATACTCCAAGAGCGAGTGGCTAAGAGACAAAATAAAAGTACATGCTAAAATTGTTTTTAAATTGCCACAACGACTGCATAAAAATAGATACCTACATGTCATCTCTCAGGCACTCTGCTGTGTAGACCGTGGTTTCTCGTGTTGACGTAACACTGTGGGGAAAGAGAAATCACCAGAAGATTTTAAACATTTTAGAATTTAGCTTCACCTTGGTAAATATGTGAATAGGTGGTAAATATGTACTTTCTAAAATATTTTCCTCAAAGTCTTGAGACAAAGTTCTGTAGATGATGACAAAATGTTAACTCACATAATGACTTATGAGGAAAACAGCCTCTTTGTCCACAACTGAGATGTGGACGAAGAACGGGGAATAGCTATAAGTACTTATAGTGCACAGTATATTTTTACCAACCTCAGACTTCCACCCAAAGCTTCCACACCACGACAAATCTTGAAAGCAGATGCACCTTTTGTAGTCTGTAAAAAGATGTTGAACATTATGTTGCGGACAATATTAGGTTGCGTTCATGTTCTTGAAGTCCATTTCAGTTGTAGGGAAGGTGCCAATAAAACTAAGAGAAAGAAGCAATTTTTGAAAGAAATGTTGAAAAAGAAAATGTCCAAATATTCATCTCCATCAATATTGATTAGTGATTGATTCACAAAACAGCCAAATTATTCCCATGTCAGTCCTTTCTACTGGACAACATCATGCAAAATAATGTTGTCACCACTTCTAGACACCTGTATGAGAAAACTATCTTCTCTTAACGAAACTTTGACTCTATAGTTGCCAGGAAATATTTTCAGCTGCCCTCCACCACCAATTTAAACTTCTTTGGAATGTGGTGACGTCACATGAACGCAATCTAATAAGTGCAGTGTATTTTCTATAAATCTGATGAACAGAAATGATTACCAGGTTTGCTGCCAGTCGTAAGACATGAGCGACCCCCTGGCTGTTCACAGCCTCATGGCGACTTCCGGCTTTAACAAACAGACCAACGTTGGACATGGGCGAGTGATTCTCCTGGGACGCAATAACAAGTCCATTCGAGAGTTTGGAGACCTACAGTAGGAGGACAAATCGTTATAACAAATACATTTGGTAATCATTGGTGCATTCCCATATCGAGTTTCACAATTGTTACCTGGACATTTTGTGGGGTGAGAGGGGCTGCTGCATGTTTTTGCAAAGCAAGAGGTTCAGTCAGAGAACCACTTCTTTGAGTCGCATAACACCGTTTCTGTGAGGGGAAGACTCATCATAACATGTATAACACACAGTTCATACACAAGGCAACCCAATCTGCGTAACAACAAAATCATAAATATTCACGGTACAATGAAGATGAAATCCTTCAGTTGTATGCACAGCTAAACAGAAATGTTCTTAGCCAGGAACAGTTTCTGAGTAGAAGCTTGTCTCAAATATTCAGACTGTCCCAGATTTTAGCTGCATAACTCTGAAACGCTGCCTCCCCATGGTAGTCCTTACTTATGGTACCAGCAAGTTCTATTTCATCCTTCCTGACCGCCAGAGGCGGTGCTTAAGCACTGGATGATCATCCTCGCGCATGCACAGATCGAGAGTCAAATAACAACAAAGTCACCCGTGACCTCCGGTAGCTCACGCGAGAGTCTATAAAGCCACGTGACCCCGGAAGCACAGTCCTTTTTCACTTTCTCGCATGCAGGTTGTATGAGTCTGGCTGAAGCTAACTGATAGCTGTTTGTGCCTGTTGTTCGCGCCGCTTGCTGCCTGTAGCCCCGTGACTGCTCGTCGGTCGGTGCTGCGAGTTTCTCGCCCTCCGTGGGCTGCGCAAGCCGCGCTGCTTGCCTCTGGTGAGTGTTTGTTTTGATTATTCGCCGTGACTTGTGCTCGGTTGTTTTTCGTTACTTCTTATAATTGGGGGGTTACTAGTGGCGTTTCTGCTCGACCCGACCCTGTTATCTGGCTGTTTACCTGCGCGTATTCAGCGTGTGTTAGGTGGGTTACCGGTGGCGTTCTGCTCGACCTGACCCTGTGTCTTGTTAATTACCTTGTTAATTATTTGTTAATTTCTGTCGGTCACTGGTGGCGTGTCTGCTCGACCTGACCCTGTTGTATTGGCTGTTGCCTGCGCGTGTTCCACGTGTTTCTGCGGGTTGTAAGTGGCGTCTCTGCTCGCACTACCCTGCTATATTGGTTGTTCCCTGCACGTGTACGGCGTTCGGTGGGTCACTAGTGGCGTCTCTGCTCGACCTGACCCTGCTGTATTGGTTGTTCCCGGCACGTGTACGGCGTTCGGTGGGTCACTAGTGGCGTCTCTGCTCGACCTGACCCTGCTGTATTGGTTGTTCCCTGAACCTGTGAGGCGTTCGGTGGGTCACTAGTGGCGTCTCTGCTCGACCTGACCCTACCGGGAGTGCCCCTGTACTTGGCGGCGACTGCTCCTGCGCGTTCGCTCGCTGGGATGCTTGAGCCGTTGGCCTGCCAGTCCTGTCTGGCCCCGATGCAGCAGGACGATGGCCATGTGCTGTGTCCCTCCTGTCTGGGTGTGGACCATCTGCGGGAGGCGCTAACCGAGCGTGCATGTCCCGAGTGTGCGGTAATGCCCTGGCCGGTGCGCGTGGCCCGCCTGTCGGCCCTGGACGGACATTTCAGTGGCGATTCTGGGGACTGTGGGTCTGCCCTGTTGGTTGACCAACCCCCTGGTCGCAAACGTGAGGGCGCCCGGGGTGATGACCCTCCGCGAAAGAAGTCGAAGTCCTCTGGTCGCGGGGTTCTGACTTCGAAGGTCGATTCGCTCTCTGTGGAGTTGGCTCAGTTGCGGACCCTCCTTCATGACCTTCAGGCTGGTACTGGCCAGTCGGTGGCCCGACCGGTCTCTGTCCCTTTGTCGGTGTGCGATGAGGATGATGCTCTCTCGGTGGCGGCATCTGACACACATTTTCGGCCGGGCTCTGATGTTCTGAGCTCCAGGGTCTCGGAGTCTGGTTCGGTGGGTTCTGTCGGGTCTCTGTCGGTTTCCGATGAGCCCGTGACTGCGGCGATCCGAACGGCTCTGGCGCATTTGAAGCTGGATGTGCCTCGGTGCGATGCGGGGCCCTCGAGTGCCTTCTTTCGCCGCCAGTCTGCGTCCTCTGGGTTTTCTGTTCCTCCTTCGGCGGAATATGTCAAGGAGCTACATGCCTGTTGGACTGACACGAGGGTTTTTTCTAGGCCCAATTCGGACGGTCGGGCCCTGGCTTCTATGCAGGCGCCTGACAAAGTTGGCCTGGGGCATATGCCGGCGGTGGAGCCTGCCATTGCCTCCTTGATTGTACACCCTGAAGAGGCTCTGCGCACTAATGCCCGGTGCCCTCGGCCGCAGTGTCGGGCCACAGATGACCTGCTCTGCAAGGCCTATGACATGTGTGCCCGCATGGGCCGCATTGGGAACTCCCTGTCTCATCTGCTGTTGGGGCTGTCCGCTTCTCTGGAGGCTGTCACGTTGGACCAGTCCACGCAGGGGATGGTGGATGCTTCCTTGCAGGCTTTTGCCTTCATGTCTAGGGAACTGGGGCGTCTCCTCTCTACGCTGGTTCAGACTCGCCGCCAGGTGTGGTTGGCGCAGTCCCCTCTCTCCGAGGCCAGCCGCAGAGTGTTGCGGAGCGTTCCTGTGCTCCCTGGAGAGCTGTTTGGCTCGGCTGCCATTGCGGCTCTGGAGCGCACGGTCCAGGCCACTCAGACCCGGCAGCAGTTGGTGGGACTGCACAGGCATCCCTCGCGTGCGTCCGCTTCTGCTGCCCCTGTGCGCGGGCGGGTGGCCCCGCCCCGGAGTTTTTCTGTGCCCCGGGCGGTGGATGGGCCGTCGGCTCATGGGGCTCGGCGCGGGAACTTTCCCCCGGCTCAGGCTCCACTGCGTCCCAGTCGTCGCCCCCCCAGGCCCGCTAAAGGCCGGGGTGCCCTCCGGTGAGGCGCCGGGGCCGGCGGTGGGACAGTTTACCCCGGGACAACTCGGTTACTGGAGGGCCCAATCCCCCGATGCATGGGTTGTGGCCACTTTGTCCGTGGGGTATCGTCTCCAGTTCCGCCGCCGGCCTCCTGTTCCCGGCCGGGTCCTTGTGACTGTCATCCAGGACCCGGTCAGGGCGCGGGCACTTGTCCGGGAAATTCGTACTCTGCTGGACAAGGATGCCATCGTGCCTGTCGACCCCCTGCTGGATCCAGGGGGCTTTTATTCCCGTTATTTTCTTGTGCCGAAAAAGACCGGCGACTTGCGACCGGTCTTGGACCTGAGGCGTCTGAATGTTTTCTTGAAGGTCCTCCCTTTCAAGATGTTGCGTGTCCGGCAGGTCCTCCAGGCGGTGTCCCCTGGGGACTGGTTCACGTCAATAGACCTGAAGGACGCCTACTTTCACGTCCCGATTGCTCCTCAGCATTGCCGGTTCCTTCGTTTTGCCTTTCAGGGGAGGCACTTCCAGTTCAGGGTGCTTCCCTTCGGCCTCTCGCTCTCTCCTCGGGTCTTTACGAGATGCGTGGCGGCGGCTCTTTCCCCGTTGCAGGCCAGGGGGTTGAGGATCCTGCCCTATCTGGACGATTGGCTGATCTGTGCCCCCACTCGCGAGCAGTCTCTGCGGGATACGCAGGCTGTGATAGAGCACGTGACCAGGTTGGGTCTGCGAGTGAACCTGGCTGTCTATGAAGACAGCGTTTCTCCTGGCTATGGCCTCCGGACGGCGGGTGAGTGAACTCCATGCTCTGTCGGTGACCGGGGCCTGTTGTCGTTGGCATCCTGACGGCTCGGGTGTGTCTCTGTGGCCGGATGTGTCCTTTGTCCCAAAGGTGTCTTCCGGTCGATATGACGGGCCCCTTCAATTGGCCCGTTTTGGTTCTGGTGAGCCCCCTGACCCTCTGTGCCCTGTTCGTGCACTGGAGGTGTACATTCGATCCACGGCCTCGATAAGGCGTTCAGACGCCCTGTTTGTCTGCTGCGCCGGCCCTCGCGTTGGTCGGGCTCTGTCCAAGCAGCGTCTCTCCCACTGGGTCGTGGGGGTTGTGACAGAGGCCTATGCCTTGCGGGGGCTGCCGTTACCGCCTGGGGTGAGGTGCCATTCTACGAGGGGCATGTCAACTTCGTGGGCTGCTGTGAGTGGTGTGTCGTTGGACGTCATCTGTGCGGCGGCGTCATGGTCGTCCCCAAGCACCTTCGCCAGGTTTTATCGGGTTAATGTTGCCGCCCCGCACCCCCTGCAGGGGGTTCTGCGGCACCGCTCATCTGTTTCACAGTAAGGTGAGGTTCTGGTTGGTTTCCTCGTGACCTTGCTGATATTCGTCATCCAGTGCTTAAGCACCGCCTCTGGCGGTCAGGAAGGATGAAATAGAACTTGAGTTACGACTGTAACTACGGTTCTATGAATCCTGGATGACCGCCAGAGCGCCCGGTCCCTCGGAATCCTTGTGCAAGAAAGGTTCTAGGGACTGTGCTTCCGGGGTCACGTGGCTTTATAGACTCTCGCGTGAGCTACCGGAGGTCACGGGTGACTTTGTTGTTATTTGACTCTCGATCTGTGCATGCGCGAGGATGATCATCCAGTGCTTAAGCACCGCCTCTGGCGGTCATCCAGGATTCATAGAACCGTAGTTACAGTCGTAACTCTCGAACTGACTCTGCTCCTCAGTCAGTTCATATGGCACCAACACTAACATGATGTTGTCATATGGAAAGACTTTCACACAAGTAGAGCTGCTTTAAAGCTGCTTAAATAGATTACTTGCAGAGTTGGGTTTGTACAAATAGTACTGAAATGTTATTGGATAGAACATTTAATTGATACATTAGTGAAGATCATATCCTTTAAAAACTAAATATTAAAAATGTTTTCGAATTCCAAACAATCTATTGGTCGTTTTTGAACCAAACAACAAAGTTAAGCAGCTGTCTAAATATACTAACCTGAGACAACCCCTTTAGTTAATACATTTAAGGTCTAGAGGCCTCCTACTGTACTGTCCAGTTAATTATCATTCAAACATATACATATGAAGTTAATAAGAGCTTTTATTAATGATTGATAGAATTATATTTGAAATATATAGTCCAAAAATGCATGACCTTCAGATGCATTCATTCTAATGCAACACAAATAAACAAGAAATTATACCAATGATGATAGATTAATGGGCTGACTTAAAGATCAAACAAATTCCGTTAAAAGTGACTTTAAATGTTTAGATAAATGTTCTCAAAGCAATGCTAACTCAGATTAGCCAATGCTACATGTCTTGCAAGACAAATTTACAGCAGAAACTGGAGCTGTCAACAAAATCTATGAATAAAGACAGTCTAGACTAAAGCCACATGTGGAGATGTGAACTATTATGATGCTAAACTCACAGAGATGCTGTTCAAAGAGCGGATTCCTCTCATGTTTGAGCCTCTCTCCTTCACCCGGCTCCAAAGACAGCGATGGCGACTGGGACGGGTCTACCCACAATGCACCGCGAGCCCGAGTCACTGGTCACGTCAGAGATAAACAGTGAGATCATAACTCTCTTTGGGTTTATTTATTTATTTTTTAAACAGAGGCAACAGCAAATACTTAATCTGTAAACCATCCTGAGCCAATTCCACATACTTTAATTTTTTTCTTTGATAGAAAACTTCTCAAAATATTCCAAAACAAAATTGATCTAAGCTATAAAATGTACCCATTATTTAACAAACTAATTTCCATTTAGGGCGACAGTAGCTCAGTTGGTAGAGCATTGGCCTTTGAGCCTGAAGGTTGTGGGTTCGAGCCCACCATAAGACCTACTTCACGACTCCCACTGATGACTGCTGTCGTTGTGTCCTTGGGCAAGACACTTAACCCTACTTTGCCCGAAGCCCCCACTGAAAGATCTCAGCTTCTGTGGACTCACCACCTGCAGGAGGATCAGTGAGGGGCTGGTGCTCTGTGTGCTGGGTGCAGCTCTGACTGCCACCCCCCCGACCCAGAAATGGATTAAGGGGAAGAAAATGAATGAATGAATTTCCATTTAAGTCCATCCTGTATTAGTTTTTGGTACTGTTTAAAACAATATTTAAAAACTAACAACACTCAAACCTTATATCTTGGCTTTTTGATTATTTTTTGTGTTGTGTAGAATCCCCCAGAGATTTTATTATCCATCTATGTAAATTGTCAGTTTGTGTTTACATATTGAAAAGACGTTTTGGTTTCATTTGCTTCCAAAATAAAAACTCTCGCCTCAGTCTATGATCAAGATAACTGAACATTCCAACAATTTATTTCATTTGGCACTATAACAGACATAATCAACGTTTATTGTTTGAACAGAGAAATCACATTACAAAAATAATCTCAACATACATTAACATTTAATCAAATATGGCGACTACTACTCATTCCCAAATTCAATCGGCACATACAACAAATACAAAAATACACTATCCTGAAGGGGAAAAGCATCTCAAGGCTTTCCATAATATCTTTAACAATACTCTGACCATGTTCACATTAACAATAAGTTTGATCTGGAAACCGTCTTTTCATTTACTACCTACATAAGCAGCCAGACTGCTACGGTCTCAGAAGCTGCCCCGCATACTACTCTGTTCCACTTGTAGCAACCAATAGTGCCAAAATAAGGCAGTATACATTAGTAAACGTGACCAGCAAACCTCTTTGTGGCATGTAGTTCTTGGCAAATAGTTTAAAATTAACCAATTGTGGTATCTATATTGTCTCTCAGTCATTTGGCGTCCCAGGGCAGTTGTGAAGAATGTCCTTTCTCAACTGCAGAGACACACAGCTAAGCCAACTGCGACTCGTGGGCATCTCCCCAACAATCTCCCAAGTCTCTGTGTCTTCACAGTACCTTTCAATGGTGTCATGATACCTGCAAGATCAAACACAGGTGTAAACCACAGAACTTAAGTGGTCCCTAAATGTGCATCTGTAACATATGAGCATACCTGTCCCAGCCCTCCTCTCCCCCCAGGACATAGATCTTTCCATCTACCACAGCAGCACCGGGCCGGTACCGACGTTCATTCATTGGAGCGCACATGGTCCATTGGTTGGTTTTGGGGTTGTAACACTCCACTTTGTCTGTGTTTTCCGTTGATGCGTGCCATCCTCCTGAAGTAACAGAAAAAAAATGTCATGTAGACATTCTTTAAAAAGGAGCATCATGTTAGACTGTACTGTCATAAGATGTCATTGGTTTGGTTGGATTTAATGGTTTGACAAAACTACCCAACCTTAATACATCCTGTATTATAATGATCACGTTGTAGATTGAGAATTGTCAAGTCAACAATATTTGGTGACACACCCAATCTAGTGTAAGAAAATGTTTAAAGTAAACATCTAACCGCTCCAGATACGTGGATCTGGGAAAAATAATGACGTTGAAAACATGTGAACAATATTTACCTATAACATAAATTTTCCCTTTGAGTGTACATGCAGCTGAACCAGAGCGGGCAATCTGCATGGGGGCGACCTCAGTCCATGTGGCGGTCTTCGGGTTGTAAACTTGAGCGAGATTTGTGCCGTCGCCATCCTCCAGAACAGCGCCACCTTCAGGAAAACACTGTCCGTCAACTACACCAGAACATCACACATTAAACTTAAGACTTATACCGGTCACATAAAGCAGCCCGTCCAGAGCAACAACTGCAGGACTGGTCACAGCCATCTTCACAGACTGAGTGAACTGCCAGCAGTTGGTGTGAGGGTTGTAGCACTCTACAGAGTCCAGGCGCGAGCGCCCCTCCCAGCCTCCGACCGCATACACAAAACCATCCAGCATCACCAGCCCTGGAAAGAACGGACAGTCACTAAAACGTAGTTTTACTTTGAAACTGTGGAACCGTTTGCAAAATTTAACTTCAAGACTTTTCACAAGCCTGTATTTTTAGCGTCAGATCTTCTGATCACACTTTTCAAACAGACGTGAAAGGGGAGGGCAACTCGTGTTCAGCCAATCAGCTCTCAGCCCAAAGCATCAAATAGTTATTAACCAGGTTTCAAAATATATTATTTTAATTAGACCAAGACATTATGTTGTGATTAGTTAGTTTAATCAAAGATTAATTAAAAACTTAAAATTAAGGAGCATGACTATCGGAAATGACTATCGGTCGGCCTCGAAGAGATTCTGGCAAACCATCCGGCGCCTCAGGAGGGGGAAGCCGTTCTTTGCCAACACCATGTACGGTGCGGGTGGAGAGCTGCTGACCTCGACTGGGGATATTGTCGGGCGGTGGAAGGAATACTTTGACGTTCTCCTCAATCCCCCCGTCACGTCCTCCGTTACAGAGGCAGAGGCTGAGGATGTTGGGGCGGATACATCCATCTCCCTGGGCGAGGTCACCAAGGTGGTTGGCAGCCTCCATGGTGGCAAGGCTCCGGGTGTGGATGAGATCCGTCCTGATAAAGTCTCTGGATGTTGTAGGACTGTCTTGGCTGACACGTCTCTGCAACATTGCGTGGCGATCGGGGGCGGTGCCAATGGAGTGGCAGACCGGGGTGGTGGTCCCTCTCTACAAGAAGGGGGACCGGAGGGTGTGTTCCAATTATCGTGGGATCACACTCCTCAGCCTCCCCGGTAAGGTCTACTCCAAGGTACTGGAGAGGAGGTTACGGCCGATGGTCGAATCTCGGATCCAGGAGGAGCAGTGTGGTTTTTGTCCCGGTCGCGGAACACTGGACCAGCTCTATACTCTCCATCGGATACTCGAGGGTTCATGGGAGTTCGCCCAACCTGTCCACATGTGCTTTGTGGATTTGGAGAAGGCGTTCGACTGTGTTCCCTTGGGTGTCCCTTTGGGGGGGGTTCTCCGGGAGTACGGGGTCGGGGGTCCTCTGCTGAGGGCCATCCGATCCCTGTATGACCGGAGCCAGAGCTGTGTTCGCATTGCCGGCAGTAAGTCAGACCTGTTCCCGGTGAATGTTGGCCTCCGACAGGGCTGCCCTTTGTCACCGGTTCTGTTCACTGTATTTATGGACAGAATTTCTAGGCGCAGCCAGGGGTCGGAGGGGGTCCGGTTCGGAGACCACAGGATTTCATCTCTGCTGTTTCCAGACAATGTTGTCCTGTTGGCTCCAACGAACCAGGACCTGCAACATGCACTGGGACGGTTTGCAGCCGAGTGTGAAGCGGCTGGGATGAGAATCAGCACCTCCAAATCTGAGGCCATGGTGCTCGACCGGAAAAAGGTGCCTTGCTCTCTGCAGGTGGGTAGAGAGGTCCTTCCTCAAGTGGAGGAGTTCAAGTATCTCAGGGTCTTGTCCATGAGTGAGGGAAGGATGGAGCGTGAGATTGACAGGCGGATCGGTGCAGCGTGCGCAGTGATGCGGTCGCTGTATCGGACCGTTGTGGTAAAGAGGGAGCTGAGCCGAAAGGCAAAGCTCTCGATTTACCGGTCAATCTTCGTGGATACAAGCGGTCGAAATGAGCTTGCTCCGCAGAGTGGCTGGGCGCTCCCTTAGAGATAGGGTGAGGCGCTCAGTCACACGGGAGGAACTCTGAGTAGAGCCGCTGCTTCTCCACGTCGAGAGGAACCAGTTGAGGTGGCTCGGGCATCTGTTCCGGGCACGTCCCACCGGGAGGAGGCCCCGGGGAAGACCTAGGACACGCTGGAGGGACTATGTCTCTCAGCTGGCCTGGGAACGCCTTGGGGTCCCCCCGGACGAGCTGGAGGAAGTGTGTGTGGATAGGGAAGTCTGGGCGTCTCTGCTTAGACTGCTGCCCCCGCGACCCGGCAACGGATGAAGCGGAAGAAAATGGATGGATGGATAGTTAGTTTACATCTAACAAATAGTTAGGTTCCCAAGCTTTAACTATGCACGTCATATCTTCACATGCCAATTTCATTTAATACATTTTAATAATATGAAACTGCATGGGAATGTATTGTGCGTATAGAGGGTCAGAGTGTAGAGAAGCTAACCCAGCTCTGTGCGTGCTACATTCATAGGAGCCATCTCGATCCAGGAGTCAAAGCAAGGGTCATAGCGCCACATTTCTCTGCTGGCCGAGCCATCGGGAAACTCCCCTCCTGCCAGGTACAACGTGGAATCTGCAACAAAAGTTTAAACATTACATAGATAACAGGTCATTAGCTAAATCTTCCATATATAAGCAGGCATGTATAACCCTAACCGTCTGCTCTGCAACGGAAAATATACAAAGACCCATTTTCTGGTCAGGTGCCTTTGCACCTGCTCATTATTCTGCTTTAACTTGTGTGCACCGAGAGCCAAAGGACTTTCCTAGTTTGTGACTTGTTACTCACATGGCAATAAAAGGATTCTGATTCATGATTGATTGAGTCAAGCCCCTACCGTTTACATCGCTCCAAACAGAAAAGACAAAGAGAAACACATCCTCATTTTGAAAAATCGGTCTATGATTTATTGATCAGATGACTTCAATCAGGCGGTTATTTTCACTGTTTTATATATATTCAGGCTCAGTATGCTGTTAACTCCACCCATAAGGAGACATGGGAAAACTCGCACAAACTCAAGTCTACTTTACAAACTTGTGATTTTCAAGCATTCCTCTTTCTCTCCCACCCTCTTAGCGCCTCAACAAAAGTGCCCGTTGGGGTTTGACGGCAGCATTCGTGGCACAGCACATGGAGCGGATCAGAGCAGAGTACAGGTGGTGGAATCGTTAGTCGATGGGAAAAAAAAACTACTTTGTTGTTTACATAGAGTCCGATGATCCACACCAGAGGTTGGGGGAATCTCAATATTGTCATAATATTCATTATAAATCTTGGGTACATAACTTCAAAATGCATTTTTCAGCAATTTTTTTTGGCAAATAGAGTGCAAAGTAAAAATAAAATGTGAACAAATTAAACCACAACATGCCATCGATAACATGTTATCTTTAGCTGTATTTTCTCATTTTTCTGTCTGATCTAAAGTAGTAACAGGCCAGAGTGAGGAACTAGTTAAATTTGATAACATACTTGTGGTTTAAAAGTAACATACTCCAGCTTTAAAACACATGAATAAACGGGAAAACATAAATTATACACAGTTGACCCACCGGACACGACCAGCCCATGTTTGCTCACGGCGAAGGGCAGACAGGCCAGATTCTTCCACTGGTTGGTGACCGGATCAAAGCTCTCCACACTCCGCAGAACCACCTTGTCATCCTCCCCGCCGACTGTCACGATCACTTCTGCTGTTCCTGTTGCCACGGAAACACACAATACGTGCAATGTGAAGAGAGCCTTTATTAGAGCTCGTGATCAATGTTCTTCAGAGAGCCATTATAAAAATACTTTTGCTGTAGGTTTACACATCCCCCAATAGACTTGAACAGTTAAATGTCAGAATGAGAGTTTTACATTCTCAATAATGAACCTATCATTGTCTTGCTGGGTGAAAAAGGTTATATCATAAGAATAAAAAGTTATTTTATTGACATCGATGGCATTTAAAACAAAAGATCTTAAATTAAAACCTGGAGCTACCCTGTCTCATAAAAGGATACATATTAATTGTACAGGAAAGAGTCATTTCTATAATTAGGATAGAGGCTAAAGGGTAGTGTGATTTGAAATTAGAGACTTGGTAATTAGGCAGTACTAGTTTCTTTACACTCGGTCTTATTAGAAGCACTTTCTAAGCCTTAGAGACTTTGTAGTTTTACCCGTGGACCTGCGTGGCCTTGCTCGAGGGCAGTAAAGTTGTCCACGGCGGTCCTTCAGCAGCAGATAGTCCTTTGCCTCAGAGATTAGTTTTTGACAGGCCTGATTCTCTTTTATCACATCAAGAGATTCAATCACATCATGGAGGTAGTAAGGACTGATGAGAGGCAGGCGCACCGTCTCCAAAACCTTCAAGACACACGTTTAAAAAAAACAAGTTATAGCTTGGGCTGTAATAATTAGAAGAGTGGTTTCAGCCCAGAAACAGAAGGCATTTCTTTTCATTTAATATACAAGTGTTCTCACCTTTTCAAAGTTCTGTTTACGAGAAAGACATTTATTGAGCCACAGAACAGCTGCCTCAAAAACAACTTCTTCTTTTGGCACATTAAGATGGTCACTAGCAACAATTTCGGTCAGTTTGTCCACACAGAGAGAAAGGAACTCTTCCTAGAAAAGGAGAAAACATAAAACAAGCATAAGACACAGTTTTACAGTTCTGGTTTACCATGGAAATTAGAACTGAAATACATTCCAGCCACAGCATCAAATATATACCCATGTTATTAGTTATGCATTACTAGTTCTTTTTTTAACCTATGTTACAAAAATACCTGTATGCAACTTACGTGCTGATAAACACTGCTGAAGTGCTCCAGGATGTAGTCCATGCTGCGCTTTTCAAGCACTTTACAAGAATGGGCTTCAGCAAAGCAGTGAATCCCGACACAGTTCATCTCATCCATCTGATGCTCCATGAAGCGGCAGCAGGCCTCTCGGACTGCCATGACATCCAGCAGGTTGGCCGCAGCCAGAAGTGCCTGGTTCAAACACATATGCGTCATGATCTGTAGATGCAGACTAAGACGTGCACTGTTCCGTTACCTGCACATTTGCCTTAGAAATGTAAACCTCAGACGTGTACGCATAGCTCACAAGCATACCAATCATTTGGGGCTCAACTCCATTAATTGCAACACGCTCTTGTTTGGACTCTATGAGGTCAGTAGAAAACATTGCCTGTAGAGGTGGAAGAGTTGACTTAGTGCAAATCATTTGATTAAAGTTAAAGTGTATTTTACCAGAGTTTACCTGAAAGTAAGAGCTGAAAGAGGCCAGAACAATTCGGTGACAGGGGAACTCCTGCCCCCCGCAGCACAGCGTCACATCACAGAAGGCATTGTTGAGGCGCAGGCTGTTGAGCCCCTGCAGCACGGTGCTGGGGTGTCTGCTCTCCACAAACAGGTAATCCTCATTACTCAGGGTCTCAGGAGGGGGGGCCGGGGGGCTGCCACTGTCCGGGGCAGAATGAGCGTTCAAAGTGGAAGGAGACGACGGTAAACCCGCAATGACGGCCAGAAGTTCTGCCATATCTCACTTCGCTAAGCAAACCTGCAGTAAGTTAGAGCCGTCAGATGTTCAGTGCATGATCTCACTAATAAGGCTTATCATGAGCAGCCACGCTGCACCTCGCACTCTCCACTCACTGCTTTGCTCAGACTCAGCATAAACACACGATCAGTTGGTTCTATAGACGGGGAATAAATACCTGAAATACATAGTCGTGACAGCAGCAGACCCCATGAGCAGACCCTGGTACAGTTTTTATCAAGCCATCCTCTTCTTCTGCTGTAGTGGAAAAATACACGTTCAAAAGCAGATTACCGCCACCATCTGGACCTTTGTGGTACTACGATCTCATTCTGTTTGACAACTGGAATATTAGCAAATGGGCTCCATCAGGGCCACCCAAAGAAGGATGATCACAACTTCTCTGTATTTACCAAATACATTCAATGATTCGTAGTAATTAAAATGTAATATGTTGTTATCGTGTATACATTATATATATACACCATATATATATTATGTTATATACTATACAATATATGTATTATGTTGTGTATTATGTTATGTTGTATATTATGTTATATATCATGCTGTATGTTATGTTATGTATTATATATACTATATATAATATATGTGCTATATATAATATATAATGATCGGTTTGCACACCCGGTGTGCAATCCATGAATCTTGGTGCTGTAGCCTAGACCAGCCTAGCCGTGGCTGCTGCTGTCTCGCCTCCTTTCAGATAGGTTTAGGTTTAAAACAGTCCTCTTTAGTTTAGCATATGGCTAGCCTAGGAAGGTAAGACTCAGGGAAGGCTAAACTCCTCAGAGTGTCAGTCAAGCTGCATAGGGAGTCAGTTTGCTGGGAGAAGTATGGTAACTTGAGCACTATCCTCTCCTCCTTCCTACTTTATCTGTTTAGCATTTTTGGGATTTTGACTGTAGTTTGTTCATTGCTATTCACCCGTTGTCCCATTGTCTGTTTCATGGTACGATGACGGGATCTCTGAGCCTGGCCTCCTCCATCTACACCCGCGGACTGCCCCGCCCGACCCGCCTGGGAGTGCTTCAGTCCTGCACCGGACCTGTCCACGTTCAGCGTCCACTGGTCCACGTTCTGTAGCTAGCTTAGGTCCTAGATCATTAGTCTGTCCGTCCGGAGGAGCGGATCCCTTTCTCATATGGGTCTCCCTCCCTGTGGGTTTCCCTAGTTCTCCCCAAGGTTTCTCACTTTTTCCCACTGGGTTTTTTAAGAGTTTTTCCTTGTCGATGCAGGAGGGTCTTGTTGGACAGTTAGTGTCCAACAGAAAGGATTGGTGATGATCAGGACACTTTAGCATTCTACAACATGTATGGACATTTTCTTCTGTGTGTGCTTTATACTGTATTCTTCATGTGTTTTAACTGTTGATTCTCTGACCTGTGTTGGTGATTTCAATGGTTTTGTTAAGTCCTCTGAGATGACTTCTGTTGTGACGTAGGGCTATACAAGAATAAATTGTATTGTATTGTATTGTATTGTAATGTATTGCATCGTTAGCTTACAATTGAATTAGAGAAAATCAGTCATAGTACGCATAGTAAGCCATAGTACATAATATACACCCTCATCCTGTCCCGATTAGGACAGGGCCTTTCTGTGTGGAGATTGCATGTTCTCCCCGTGTCTGCGTAGGTTTCCTCCGGGTGCTCTGGTTTCTTATACCACTAAAAACAGTAGTTCAGGGGGAATGAGTGTGTGATCGTAAGTACGGGACAATGGATGGAAATTAGCCCATGGCTACAATCCGGATTAACATGTTCATTAACATGTCCCAACAATATATATATATATATACATAAAAAGATTTTTATAAAAAATGGTTGACAAAAGACCCATGGTGGTGTATATTTGAATTTAATATAATATAAAGTATAGAATTACACATAGAGGTAAATTAAATTGTGTTATGTATCTGCTGAGTTATCATTACATACTGTATAGGCAAAGCAGAGCCAGTTTATTTATATTGCACAATTTATACAAATGGCAACTCAACATGCAGAGAGGAAGCGTTAAAATAACACAGATACAAATCCTAAAGAATCACACAACATACTTTTACAACCATTAAATTTGAAAGATGAAGAGATACAATTCAGCAGTTGTTTTTACAGCTAAACAGAACTGTGGTCAGAGTAGAAGCTAGTCTCACATTGTCAGGAAGACTGTTCCAGATTATAGCTGCATACCTAAATCAGTGACTTTTCATGTTTAGTCCTGACTCTGGGCACCAGTCCCTGTGCTTCTCAGAGTCACAGGTGGTTCATGGCACTAACCTATCACATAACATTATTAATAATAACCTTTTTACTAATAACCCTATAATAACCCACTGATTTAAAGTGTTCCATCACAGAGCGCTGTCCTTCAGAACGCCTGGCCTCTCCAATGCTAATTTTCTGCGGCCAATAGCCTCCAGGATTTTTTTCCTTGGGCCGAGCTGGATACGAATTCCTTTCAAATCTTCATCAGAGCAAAGCATCAGCGCCTCCAAGTCTAGGTGCTCTTTGCTGAAGGCCAAAGCAAACTCTGGCAACGCGACGGACGAGAGGAACGTGTCAAGAGGAGAGGTGTCTTCATCTTCATCATCAAGCCCCAGATTATCTTGTTCCCACGGTAAGCCTCCGTCAGCCTCCAGTCCCAGCTCATCCTCCCCGTCTAACGCCTCATATTCAAACAGGACTCCGAGGTCTCCATTGCCACCACTGGGAAACTCATCGACATCATCCGACCGCTGGAATATGAGATTTCCCATCCCAGGAAGGTTAAATATGGACCGCTTCACCTGGCCTTCTTCCTCCTCAATGTTCTCCGCCTCCTCCAGACCCTCATCTTGTTCATGAAAAACTTCCAAAAACTCAGGTTTGCCATCATCTTGTTTCACAAAAATCACATTGCTGTTTGCCCCTAACTCCTGCATTGGATCTCTGCCCTTTTTTCCCACCTTTTGTAGTGTCCCTTTGAACCTTGCTGCCAGAGATCCGCCTTTACTGATGCTGTTTTTCTCACTCAAACTTGCAATAGTACCGAAGTTAGATGCCTCCATGCTGGCCTCTGTGACTGATTCATAAGCTGGACTGGGCCGGTACATTTTATCCATCTTGCTTTGGTGCCTTTTCTTGACCCTCTCGCACTGTTTCACTCTGATATTTGCCTCCTTGATGGCCAACTTCTTCTTATCTGCCACTTTTTTGGGGTTTTTGTTGGTTTCCTGGGAGGTAGAGGCGTCCAGAAAGCGCACGCAGTCCATGCGGTCCCGGGAAGCCGCAACATCCATAGCCGTGTGGAAGTCATTGTCCAGAGAAAAAAGGTTGACTCCGAAGTTGACGAGGAAACTCAGGATATGCATGTGGTTGTTCGCCGCGGCCAGGTGCAGTGGTGTGTTGCCCCAGATGTCACTTTTGTCAGGGTTCCCACTGAAAGAAAACAGAATATAAGGATTCTGTTAAAGTTTTATTGATAATTTCCCCACTGTTAGGGCGATGAAAGGATCCTTCAATTAATCTTAATCTGTTTTCAATACCCATTTCCTGAAGATACTGTATACAGACTTTCTACAGATTTGACACTCTTTCCGATGAGCTATAGCTTTATGAGTGTATATGCCTGTTGGTATACGTCTGAACTTATCAGAACTTTTAAATCTGGGGTACCTAACTTCAAAACCAAAAACAATTAAACTAAGTAATAAATGATGTCCGACCTTCCACCACAGTTTGCTTCTATCTCTAGTTTTCACATGCATGTGTAGTTTTGCCCTGTGTCACACAAACAAACATACATATGTACCTACACATACATTCATACATTCTGCTTTTTCCTCACAAATACATTTTAGTTTAGTTAGTATTTTTGGACAGGTTGTTATAGCCAGTAGTGGTGTAGCACATGAAGGAATAATTGGTAAGCCATTAAGAATGAAGTCCTTTGGCAATGCGTCATGTGTCTGCCATAAAAAGGCGCTTATAAAACTCTGACAGGGCGTCGGTTTTGGTCAAGTTAACTTTCATATCACTTTGAAGCAATGTTAAACTCTAACTTTGCCTTGAAGTTGAACATGAGACTAAAAATGACAATACTCTGTTGTGATACATGGCTTTTAAAATGTAAAAATGACAGATATTACTCTATGATTTGAACATCAAAGGAAAGACACAAATTTAACATGACCTCCCTGTACTAAATGCTAATGTGTTATAATTGTTTTGTTTCTCTCACCCTCTGCTGCAGATGAGCTGGAGAGCGTCAACACGTCCATTGAAAGCTGCCAATAAAGTTGGGGTCATGCCATCCTCGTCTGCCGTGTTCAGATCTTTGGTTGTTGCCTCTTTTAAGATGTCCAAATTCCCATCGATAGCGGCTTTGTGGTACCTGGACATGTTTGGATATCGAGAAGATGGAGCTGGTCAAAGACAGCTGAATCTGCAGTGTCCAGGGCCGAGTGTCGGGCAGCAGGATATAACCAGCTCACAAGCCCAGCCATAAAACGACACCAAAGTCCAGTTTAGTTTGCGTTCTCCATCCAGGAAGTGATGATTGGTCAAATATAGAATCCAACATGCAATTACCATTCATATATCACCCATTTGAGAAAACAAAGTGGTTAAAATGTCATTTTAAATTCACCAGGCCTCTTATTACTCACAAATGGCTACTGTATTATTTTTTTCTTTATCTTTGCATGGACACTCTTAATGCCAATTACTTTTACCCACAATAAAGTTCTAGCTTGTCCTAATTATTTAAATGAAGATAAGATAAGACAAGCTTAAGTGCTCAATAAATCCACAATAATAAAAACAGCTAGGTTAGGTTAAAGGTTTTTGTGATGCTTTAGAGCTGAAGACAAACAAAAAGTGGAACAAAAATGGCAGAGAAAATGGTGGTTTATTGTTTTATAAAATTCAGAAGAAAGTACAGGCACAAAAAGGGTCACATATGGGATAGGACGATGGATGTTTTATTATCAAGAGTTAAATTATAGTTTTTTAAAACTAGGAAAGCACTGTTGTGTAACACTAAACAGCTGGAGACTGCTGAACCTAAATGTTGAATATGGATAAGAAAAGGATGTCTAGGGAAAAAGCTGATCTAGGGAAGTACACAAAATATATGGAAAAACATGTGAATGTGAAAACTAGTGAAAGACCCAAATTGTATTGAGGAACTAGTTAGATTTGGAGTTATTCCTTGCTAATGCAGGAGCGTCTAAGGACAGTGATGATCCAGGACATTTAAGGACATTTATTAACATTTATGAACATTGGTCATCTTCCCCTTATGGACCAATTCGGGAAGATTTGTTTTTTATCATTGCATTTCCTGTGTTTGATTCTCAGATCTGTGTTGGTGAATCGACAACTTTGTAAAGTCCTCTGAGATGACTGCTGATGTGATTTAGGGCTGCACACAAGTGAAATGAATTGAATTGAAAAGATTGATTTAATTACATAGTTAATTTTGTTGGCTTTTCAAATAATTGTTATTATTATTGATCCTTGGTCATTAGTCAACAAAAACACAATCTTTTAAAACTAAATGTACCTCAGCTTTTATATAATTGTATATTTTCATGTTTATGTTGTATATATATATATATATATAGAGTCCAACAAGGTTTATTTGGGCTGCTGTCAGATTCTACATGTTGGGTTTTTTCCTTGACCGTCTATTTTTATTTATTTTTTAGCTTGTTTTATTCATGCACTATGTCTGGTTCACACTGGAGACATTTGCACATTTGTATTCCAGTGTGGTTTTACTCCAAATGGCAAATAGTCTGAATCTGGATCTGAATATGAATCTGAGTCGTGGGTTCCAGTATAATTTATTTGCGTTTCCTTCTTAGACAGTAAATATTTTCTTGAGTCGTGTGTTGCAGTTTACACTCCTCACCAGCTAGTGGCGGTAATGTGTATTTTATATTGTTTGCTAACCTCCATTAGCAATCTACTCGGAGAAACAGACGAAGAAGAATCCTCGGCCAATCGTTGCACAGATCCATGCGTCTGGGAGGAAACCTGTCAGGCAGCAGGAAGAAGACAGTTTATCTGTTTCAAGCACCGGTTTAAGACATTTTAGTGGACTTTACACTGAACTCTCTGCATTGTTTATTTGCCCAGTCAGGGACAATTCCAACAAAGGGCCCTCACCTCGGTACGCTCTTCTCCCGGGGTCTGAAATCCGTGTAAGCTGCAGAGATGTCCCAACCCGTCGGCCTCTTGTCCTATGAGACTTTAGTGCATGCCGTGGCTGGAGCAATGGTGAGGAAATGGGTGGAAACTTGGGTAAAATGAAAATGAGTTATGGATGGAGCTGGCTTTTGTGTCCCAGGGAAGTGCAACAGCAATGACAGTCTTCTTCCCGTTGGACACAGCCAAAAGCAGACTGCAGGGTGAGAGCTCTATATGGTCTTGGACTGCTTTTAGATTTCACTTTTTGTACTTCTAGTGGGCTATACAAGTGTTATACGCTGACTATAGCTTTAAGTTGCGATGTCTAACTTTCAAACCACAATATAATTAAATACATTACTTAACACTTTATTACTAGTCTTCAGGTGCATGTTTTGGCTATTCTCACTCAGCCAATCAGCTCTCAGCCCAAAGTGTCACTCAAGTATGTAATAATATGATTCCTAGATAGATTATTTGTCCCAGACTGGGGAAATTGTATGTTGTGATCAGATGTGTTCACAAAATTATACTTTTCCTAGAGACTCTTTCTATTATTAAAGTTTTCAAGGCATAATGTGCAAGTTTGGTTAAAGCAATGTCCCTCTTACATCTTCAGATGGGCTCAGAAAATCCACTCTGCACAAAAAGTCAAATAGTGACTATAAAGGCTTCCATAATCCAGGTGTCTTACAGAATGCACCTGTGGCCCCTGCCTTTATCTCTCCCTCTCTCCACTATGAGGGGAGATGGCAGAGTTCAGAGTGCATTAAATCAACAATCCTTTGTGATCTGATCCATTTACTTTGAAAACTAGGATATTTTTTGCGTTAGCCTTTTTGGAGCGATCTGAACCCCCCAAACAAACCGCAAATAGAGAGTTGTTTAGTACCTCCACTTTACATGAAGGAATGAAGAATGTAAAACATGCTACCTTAGAAATGCACTTTGTTGTTGAATATTATTTTTATTTGATTTGTCTTCCTTTTCATTTCAGTGGATGAGAAACGAAAAGCCAAATCCACACCAGTCATTTTGGCAGAAATAGCAAAAGAAGAAGGGCTGTAAGTAAAGTAGGGCATATGTCACAGTTATGTTCCCTGGCTCAGACAGTATTGATGTCACATTACTTCTTCTCATAGGCTGTCGCTGTACAGAGGATGGTTCCCCGTCATCTCAAGCCTCTGCTGCTCCAACTTTGTGTACTTCTACACCTTTAATACTCTGAAGAGGGTGATGGTCACAGGCCCACAAAGGTCCAGACCTGGTAAAGATCTGCTCATGGGAATTATATCAGGTACTGCTCATAACACTGATTTACTTAGTAACTTTTAACTGACAATTATTGGAGAATATTGCTTCATATTTTGATGCAGGTGTGGTGAATGTTGTGCTGACCACGCCCATGTGGGTGGTCAACACAAGACTCAAGCTGCAGGGAGTGAAGTTTAGAGATGAAGACCTGCACCAGACTCATTACAAGGGAATTTTCGGTTTGTTTTAATTCATGTTTGTTTTGGATACACCCGTTTCCATTATATATAAGTGTGTGTGTGTGTGTGTGTGTGTGTGTGTGTGTGTGTGTGTGTGTGTGTGTGTGTGTGTGTGTGTGTGTGTGTGTGTGTGTGTGTGTGTGTGTGTGTGTGTGTGTGTGTGTGTGTGTGTGTGTGTGTGTGTGTGTGTGTGTGTGTGTGTGTGTGTGTGTGTGTGTGTGTGTGTGTGTGTGTGTGTGTGTAGATGCATTTTCACAGATCATCGCCAATGAAGGAGTGGGGAGCCTGTGGAATGGACTTCTACCCTCTCTCATCCTGGTCTCAAACCCTGCTGTGCAGTTTATGTTTTATGAAGCCATGAAAAGAAGAGCAGGCAAAGGTGGAAGGAAGGTACATTTGTAACAATGATGGACTAGTTTGTTAACTAAAAGGTGATTTTTGAACTATAATTGTCACTTGTTCTATCCTAGATTTCCTCTGCTGAAATCTTTCTCATTGGAGCCATTGCAAAGGCCATTGCTGCCACAGCAACATATCCACTGCAGACAGTTCAGGCTATTCTGAGGGTAACTATGAACCAATATGCAGCACAACAATAACAGCTATATTATCTCTTGAGTAAATTATTTCTTTTTTTCCAGTTTGGTCAGTACAAAGGTGATGGCAAAGGTGGGATACTGGGAAGCCTGTCGAACATTGTAACTTTGTTTTTGGACAGAATAAAGTAGGTGCATTTGTGAACATCAGACCAAGCTATACACTGTATTTGAAATCAAAGAATATTTTTGTTTCAGAAGCCATGGTGTTATAGGACTGTACAAAGGGCTGGAGGCCAAGCTGCTTCAAACAGTCCTCACAGCCGCTCTGATGTTTGTGGTGTATGAAAAGATCACTGCTGCTACCTTCAAAGTCATGGGCATGAATCGGAAACTCAAGTGATTTCCACAGGAAAACGGGCTACTGTAAGACGATGCCTTACCCCGAGACCTCTTAATCACAGTGAGTCTTATGTTTTTGAATGTGTGAACCATTAACCTTGAACTTGAAGTTTAACACATTGATTGTAATTTGAACAGAACAAATCTATGTCAAGATGTGAAAATAACTCTTATTTTTTTGCTTGTAATGTTACGTTGTAATAGATGCAAAGGTGTAATTAATGTACAGTATATTGCAGTAAACACGGTTTATCTGTAAAGCTCAGATATTGTCGTCCAGTAAAGTGAGAAGTGTATCTGTGCCTTATGACCTTTACTGTAGAGTATGATTCATTTTTACTGTGTATTGAGAGAAACTGTCGGGCACAGCTCAGACGTGCACTCTAACATCTGAACATTTTACACATCTTGTTGAACACATTCTATTTAAAAAGGTTTTAGCAACTTTTAATATATGACCAAGTTTTTGTTTGGATTTGTCTTTGTCGGCTTTTATTGATAGGATTGCAACAATTAATTAAGCAAATATTTAAGATCTTACTGCACTTTTTAAAGAGCGTTTACTTGCTGAATGATGTGTTTAACATTCGCCGCTGTAATTCTATTAAAAGAATCATTTGGATTTGTGTGAATATCTTTTTAAGGATGAAAGTCTTTTTGCTATATTAATGGATCATCAAAATGATTAGTTCTGGCCCTAATAATAGTGGCATCCAGCCACAAATGGATCTGTGTCAATGAAGAATGTTTTTAAATGATAGTCTTTTATTATTACACCCCTTTTGCGTTTTTAAAAATGAACTCACTAGGTCAATGTTAACACTCAATTTAAGTTACAGATTGTACCGTTTTATTTCAAACAAATTTCTAGAACTAGAAATTCAAGCCATAGTGAGTGACTGCATTCAATATTCCATCTGTTTATTTACTTCAAACTACTTCAAGCTACAAAACACTAAATAGTTTTTTTAAACATTCAAACGCAATTATTATTACACTCTTATTCCCCTGTTACACCTATCACATTTTACCCCATTATACTGGTACCCCTCCATCACACAAGAAAAATCTACAACTTGTAGTTCTGCGAATACTGCAAATACTACAAAAGGTAGAAGTTCCCAAAGTGCAATAAATCACACCGTCATGTATTGAAAGATTGCAATACGGCAAATAATATAAAACTTAGAAGTATAAATACATACCACTATAAAGTTAAACCTCTACAAATGTCAACAACACGACACAAAACATACAGTAAAACATTCAAACAACATTCAAAATGTAAAAGGCTCCATAATACAATAAGTACAACTTTAAATATTGCACATACTACACAAGATACTTACACAAAATTTAGTGGCCCTCATGAGACGATAAAACCAACGAAACAAGGAACTAGAAACTTGCAATGGCTGAAGCCATTGCGATTGACTGCGGAACAGATCTAATGTGGAAATCTGCTAAAAAAAATCCTTGAAATCCTTTAAAAGGCCTTGAAACTGTTAAAATACTTGATAGATATTTGAAACTCCTGAAGTCCTTGAAATTGTTGAAACCTTTAAACTCCTGAAATCCTTGAAACTGTTGAAACATTGAAACTCCTGAAATCCTTGAAACTTTTTTAAACCTGGAAACTGTTGAAAGTGTGGAAACTCCTGAAATCCTTGAACCTCCTGATATCCTTGAAACTGGTTAAATTCTTAAACAGTTGAAATCCTTGAAACTACTGAATGTATTGAAAGTGTCCTTGAAACTGAAAAATCCCCTCACCGCTGAAACAATTTGGTTCCTGTAACTAAGGAAACCTGGTCTGTGGTCATTATCTGGTGGTGGTCTGAGTCTTCGTTTGGGTCTTGGTCTGGTGGTATAATGCAACCTATTAGGTTGCATTATACTGGTTTACATGGAAAAATCCCTATTAGGTTGCATTATACTGGTTTACATGGAAAAATCCCTATTAGGTTGCATTATACTGGTTTACATGGAAAAATCCCTATTAAGTTGCATTATACTGGTTTACATGGAAAAATCTCTATTAAGTTGCATTATACTGGTTTACATGGAAAAATCCCTATTAGGTTGCATTATACTGGTTTACATGTACAAATCCCTATTAAGTTGCTTTATACTGGTTTACATGTAAAAACCCCTATTAGGTTACATTATAGTGGTTTACATGTAAAAATCCTTATTAAGTTGCATTATACTGGTTTACATGTAAAAACCCCTATTAAGTTCCATTATACTGGTTTACATGTAAAAACCCTATTAAGTTGCATTATACTGGTTTACATGAAAAAAACCCTATTAAGTTGCATTATACTGGTTTACATGGAAAAATCCCTATTAAGTTGCATAATACTGGTTTACATGGAAAAATCCCCATTAAGTTGCATTATACTGGTTTACATGAAAAAAACCCCATTAAGTTGCATTATACTGGTTTACATGGAAAAATCCCTATTAAGTTGCATTATACTGGTTTACATGGAAAAATCCCTATTAAGTTGCATAATACTGGTTTACATGGAAAAATCCCCATTAAGTTGCATTATACTGGTTTACATGTAAAAAACCCTATTAAGTTGCATTATACTGGTTTACATGGAAAAATCCCTATTAAGTTGCATTATACTGGTTTACATGAAAAAAACCCTATTAAGTTGCATTATACTGGTTTACATGGAAAAATCCCTATTAAGTTGCATTGTACTGGTTTACATGGAAAAATCCCTATTAAGTTGCATTATACTGGTTTACATGAAAAAAACCCTATTAAGTTGCATTATACTGGTTTACATGTAAAAACCCCTATTAAGTTGCATTATACTGGTTTACATGGAAAAATCCCTATTAAGTTGCATTATACTGGTTTACATGGAAAAATCCCTATTAAGTTGCATTATACTGGTTTACATGGAAAAATCCCTATTAAGTTGCATTATACTGGTTTACATGGAAAAATCCCTATTAAGTTGCATTATACTGGTTTACATGGAAAAATCCCTATTAAGTTGCATTATACTGGTTTACATGGAAAAATCCCTATTAGGTTGCATTATACTGGTTTACATGTACAAATCCCTATTAAGTTGCTTTATACTGGTTTACATGTAAAAACCCCTATTAGGTTACATTATAGTGGTTTACATGTAAAAATCCTTATTAAGTTGCATTATACTGGTTTACATGTAAAAACCCCTATTAAGTTCCATTATACTGGTTTACATGTAAAAACCCCTATTAAGTTCCATTATACTGGTTTACATGTAAAAACCCTATTAAGTTGCATTATACTGGTTTACATGAAAAAAACCCTATTAAGTTGCATTATACTGGTTTACATGGAAAAATCCCTATTAAGTTGCATAATACTGGTTTACATGGAAAAATCCCCATTAAGTTGCATTATACTGGTTTACATGGAAAAATCCCTATTAAGTTGCATTATACTGGTTTACATGGAAAAATCCCTATTAAGTTGCATAATACTGGTTTACATGGAAAAATCCCCATTAAGTTGCATTATACTGGTTTACATGGAAAAATCCCCATTAAGTTGCATTATACTGGTTTACATGGAAAAATCCCTATTAAGTTGCATTGTACTGGTTTACATGGAAAAAACCCTATTAAGTTGCATTATACTGGTTTACATGGAAAAAACCCTATTAAGTTGCATTATACTGGTTTACATGTAAAAACCCCTATTAAGTTGCATTATACTGGTTTACATGGAAAAATCCCCATTAAGTTGCATTATACTGGTTTACATGAAAAAAAACCCTATTAAGTTGCATTATACTGGTTTACATGAAAAAACCCTATTAAGTTGCATTATACTGGTTTACATGGAAAAATCCCTATTAGGTTGCATGATTACACTGAAGTCCTTGAAACTGCTGAAGTCCTTGAAACTGCTGAAGTCCTTGAAACTGTTGAAGTCCTTGAAACTCTTGAAATCTTGAAACTGCTGAAATCCTTGAAACTGTTGAATCCTTGAAACTGTTGAATCATTGAAACTGTAGAAATGTCTGAAAGAGCTGAAGTCCTATTAAAATGCATGGGCCTATTAAAATGCATTGCAGAATTCTCAATGCAGATTTTTGTCCGATTGCGGAAAAACCGGAAATCGCTGAAGTCCCAAAAGTAATAGCAATAATCTCCCAAACATGTGGAACGTTTTGATGTATAACTTGTGGAAATTGTTGAAAATGTGAAAGCTGTGAAACGTGTCAAAAAAAATGACGGAATAAAGAAATACAAAACCAATGGTTGACTGCGGAAAGTTCCGCAGTCAATCAATAACATGTGAAAATTGATTAAATGTGTTGAAGAATGGAAGAAGATGGAATAATGACTACAAGAGCAAATGTAGTCATTTGCGAGTGCAGTCAAATCTTAACTCTATCTGCACATAAGATAGACCTGATAGATGATAGAAAACCAAGACAAAGTCCAGAACAGTCCAGTAAACTATGTGTCTGTCCTGGTGATCTCATTTATGTACCACTCTGGTAGGAAGCCATACTGCGAGTCTCTATGAATAGTGAAACCAACATCTCTGCGCGGCTCCCAGGAGAACAAGTAGACAACACTACAAGTAAGACCAGAGATAAGTCATGTATCATCATTTCTCATGTATATCATATGCACACTATACCTTGGATCGTCCTCCGAGACCACATCTTTGACAAATGTCAGAAAGTCATTGCAAAAGTTCATACAGACTGTAGGTTTCCAGCAGTTATTCTCACCCTGTGAAAAAGAGCATTTCCTTTGCAGTTTTAATCACACACTGTAGTATTAGTGACAAATTAAATATGCACCTCAACCAGTTGTGACATTTCAGCAGTCTGGAAAGTCTCCACTTTAACAACAATACCATCCCGATCCCGAAATCCTGCAACAACTTGAGGCACACCGGGCATAAATGACTGCGCCCACCACTTTAACAACTTGAACCTAAAAGGACAAATACTGTAGATGAAACATTTAAGCCAAAAACACATATGGACTTCTCTAAATTAATAGTCACTTGTCGCTGCGTTTTAAGGGAGTGCGGATTTCAGCTGATGTTTTGAGCTCGACGTAGCAGGACGGGGGATCTTTGGGCTCTCTCACGCGGCAGTCCACTTCAGCAGAGAACAGGAGTTTGTGTTCAGCGATTTGAGTTCTCACCACTGTGTAATATCCTTCATTAGTGTTAACCACTCCACTGGGGTCAGGCAAACTCTCAATGTTATCTGAAAGAATGAGTGAGACGGTTTTTTATTGTGCAGAACAGATAGCCTGTAAAACAAAAGTTCACTATGATGGCACCTGCACACATGTACTGCTCAAACTTGTATCCCCAGTACATCATTTCACTGTGTCTCTCAGTGCGATTGTCACGATCCCTGCGAGCCGCCTCAGTCTCTACTTTGTCGATGTAAATTGTTCCCCTAAACTTGGTCACAGCGAACATCCAGCCTTCTTTATCCTCATAAGGAGTAGTGAGCAGTTTGGTCAGATGCCCCCGCAGCGTCACAAAGTCCACATCCAGAGTGCTGTTGACAATAGAGCAGAGATTTATATAGGCGTCTTATTGTAATCTAAATAAAACATTAGATATACTTACAAATCAGTCCTGTTAGAAATAATCCACTTCAGGATATGATCCAGCTTCTCGTCCACACTTTCATCTCTTTTTACATAACGGTCACTGAATCCATCTTTGAGATCAAAGCTGGGATTCTGGGGTGGTTCTGTATAATACCTTAATTGACTCTTGTCATTAAAATACCTTCGTTCTGAGTCAAAAGAAAAGCAGCCGACCTCTGTGGGCACATGTGTATGAAGTGGAAAGTCTTCCTCATACTGTTCCCTTCTGGTGCTCAGTGTTGGATTCATGCTGGAACGAACAAACATGAACAAATATTAGAGCCCAAATACAACATAACAAATCCAATTAAAGTCAGAATCCAATATTGTATATCAAGTGTAGCCTGTAAATAACAATGTGCATGATGGGCTCAGAAGTATGATTTGAATGATGGTTGTTAACATTATTGTAACCATTATTCACTGTCACTGGGAGATACATATTTTGTTGTTTTTCGTGAGTATACAAACGCAATCTTTGTATTCTCTGTGATTGACCACTTCATCTTTGGGCCACCCACCCCCTCCATAGGACCCCATAATTAATTCTACGACAGCAGGAGTAATGACATCTATCATTGTTTGGGCACATGCCGTCAGGCTTGGGAGACAAAAGTCCAAGCTTTGTCATTTTGTTTGTCATATTTGTCATTTTTCCCTCTCTACAGCCGTAGAACCACAACATTTGGTAGATATATTATTTTTCATTATTATTATTTATTATGGCCAAACCCGCTGAAGTCAAAAAATAAAATATTATGAAGTACTCAAATGATCTCCGCCAATGTCTTTAAAAAGATGTCTGAACAGTTTTAATCAGATTAACATTGTTTGAACAACAGCGACCCAATTGTGGTCTTTTCTTCCTCAAACTTTGACATTTAATAATGAGCTCCTGAAAGTCAGCAGGGGTCGCTGTACTAAAGAACGCCGTGGGAAAGGAAACGTCCAGCGTTCCTCGTAGTCCTCTCAGGTTATTTTAATCCAATTTACACTTAACATAAATTACTTAATATAGAGGCTAATCTTGAGTTAATTTCTTTGTAGTTTCTAATTTACCCTCTTCTGTATGAGATGAATTGAGCCTGTTTTCACGCGTTAGATGCAGTCGCACCAGACGGTAAAACAACTGTGTTGCTCTCCATCTCTCGTTTATTCAAGGTACAGCCGTTATATTACTTTGTTGCGTAGCAACATGTAACAACAACATCAGAGCATGGCGCGTGCCAAAACCATGTACTTACTCAAATCAAATCTCATTACAATCATGTTGGCATAACATTTTCTAAATTAAATCAAATATTAATAATGACATGTAAATTATGTGAATACAATTAACATGGAAAAATGGCGCTTACATTCCGGCCCCTAATTGTTATTGCAGGGACATAACAATTACACAATAGAACAAAAGCAACATTTTTCTCTCTAAACAAAACTTACAACCCATATCACATTACACATGTATGGTTCTAAAACTCAAAAGTATATTAATCATCCATTTCAAGCAAAAGACACAATTTGTCAACTGGTCTCTCCAAAACATTAGTTTTAGTTTTCACCAAAACTCTTCGCACTTGACCTTTAGAATCACATATAGATTTTTCAACTTTTCCCATTAACCATGAACCTCTTGGTGCACTATCATCCACTATAAGAACAACGTCACCTGGTTTCATGTTTCTCTTAGCATTGAACCATTTCTGTCTTTCTTGTAATAATGGGAGATACTCTCTGGTCCAACGTTTCCAAAAAATATCAGACAGGTATTGAACCTGACGCCACCTTCTCTTTAAGTATAAGTCCTCTTTTTGGAACACACCAGGTGGTAACACTGGTTTTCTTTTCATGAGGAGCAAATGATTTGGTGTTAACGCTTCAATGTCGTTAGGATCGTTTGATACTCTTGTAATCGGCCTATCATTAACGATGGACTCCACTTCACAAAATAGCGTATGGAGACGCTCATCATCAAGAGTTTGTTGTCTGAGTAACTAATTAAGGATTTTCCTCACAGAACATATCTGTCTTTCCCAAATCCCACCAAAGTGAGACCCAGCTGGAGGATTGAAAATCCATGTAATACCCTTTTGACTCAGTGATTCAGCTGTTTTTGACTGATTCCAACCTTTGAGTGATTCACGTATTTCCTTTTCCGCACCCACCAGATTTGTACCATTATCTGATCTCATTACCAAAACCTGACCCCGCCTTGCGATAAACCTCCTAAATGCATTAATGCATGAGTCAGTTTCAAGTGAGTAAGCAACCTCTATATGAATTGCTCTTGTGGTAAGGCATGTAAACAGAACACCATACCTCTTCACATGACTTCGACCAAATTTAACCTCAAAAGGTCCAAAATAGTCTATCCCTACATTTGCCTGGCCTGCCAGACACTCCTCCTTTCTGTTCAAAAGAAGAACTGTCTGGACACCTCTTCCTAGCCTATCATTTCACGATTTTACCCACATCGGTCCAATCACGCACCGAGAGGCGGGACTTCCTTTCACCTTTGAGTTGCTAATAACTCCTCGTATCTTTAAGTTTTTGTTACAAAATCGACAGCAGTCGTTTACATTTGCACTAGCTGACATGCCGCCATCCCTTGTTTTGTGTTGACTGAAACGGCTTGGGTGCCGCTAGTTGCTGCGTCATATCCTGTGTGCATCTAATTGGTTGATGCAGTCTGTCAACCACGCCCACCGGGAATTCGCTGAGATCAAGCTCGTTCCCAGACTATATGTCTTTGAAAAAGCATATCGTTTGGCAGGCCAGACAATCCCTACATTAGTGAAAGGGGGATTGTCTGGTATAAGTCTGTCATGTGGCAAGTTTGCCATTCTCTGTTCACCAGGTTTGCTCAACAACATTTTACATTGTACACATTTTGACAATATTTTTCTGAGTGCAGCATCACCTTTGGGAACCCAATATTTTTCTCTCAGTTTAGATAACATTATGTTTCTACCACTGTGCCCTGTTTGTTTATGAATGTGCCTAAGAATCAGAGTAGACACATAGTGGTCCTGATGAAGTATTACAGGATGTTTCACACTGGATGGTAAAGCAGATTGGTGCAACCTACCACCAACTCTTAAAACACCATCGTCCATAAAAGGATCTAGTTTCACTATGTGACTTGTCCGTTTGACCTTTTCACCCTTTTGTAAAGTTTGTATCTTGTTTTTGTAGCTTTGATTTTGACAAAATTTAATTATCTCAATCTCAACCTTTTCAAGTTCTTCAAATGTCAAATGAGTTTGAATCTTCTTTGACCTAGTATTATCACTGACTAAACGTGATAAACCTTTTCTGTCTTCAGACCTCTGCTGAAGAATCTGTTTCAGTCTTAACACCCAAGCAATAGCCTTTTTTAGCTTATGCCAATCTGAGTAGTGACTAATAAGTTTACTGACAGGATCAACTTGCACAATGTCAACAGTAACACTCATCACCTTTACCTCTGTATCATTATGAATGTCCTTTGACATTAGTGGTGATACTGGCCAAAATGCACAGTCTTTACTTAGAAAGTCCGGTCCATGAATCCAAGATTTGCTCGAAAGGAATTCACTTGCTTTCATTCCCCTCGATGCTTGATCAGCAGGGTTCAACTCTGAGTTCACGTATTTCCACTGTCTTACATCAGAGTGCTCTCTGATGAGTGACACTCGATTAGCAACAAAAGTCTTAAATCTGACACTGTCATTTGCAATGTATCTTAGCACTGTGGTGCTATCAGTCCAGAAAGTAGATTCCTCTAGAGCCATTTGTAGCTCATTTCTCATTAGTTTGTCCATTTTAACAGCCACAGCAGCCGCTGTAAGCTCTAACCTGGGAATGGTTGTTTGTTTCAAAGGTGACACTCTTGACTTGCCCAGAACAAATGAGCAGTGGGTTTTTCCTATTTCATTTGTGAGTCGAAGATACGAAACAATTCCGTACCCACGTTCACTCGCATCTGCAAAATGATGCAGTTGTGCAGATATGATCTTTTCAAATCCAACTGGTTTAAAACATCTGTCAACCGTAAATCCTTGTAGTTTTGTCAAGTCCGATATCCACTCCTGTGACTTTCGAGCGAGTTCTGTTGGAATATCTTCGTCCCAGGAGAATTTCTTTCCACACAATTGCTGCAATAGGATTTTTGCTGGGAGAATAACTGGGGACAAAAATCCTAAAGGATCGTAGATTGAACTCACATAAGACAAAATGCTGCGCCTTGTTTGTGCTACTGGTTTAGCATTGATTTTGATTTTAAACGAGTCTGTTTCAACACACCAATTTACTCCTAATACTCGTTCATCAGGCAGCATGTCATGACAGAGATCTATTGCTTTGACCTCGGTTGCTCTCTCTTTTTCAGGAATGGAGGCTAAAACAGCTCTACTGTTGCTATTCCACTTTGTAAGACGAAATCCTCCACTTCTACAAAGCTCTGTCAGCTCTTTTACCATAGTGCAGGCCTTACTTTCATTTGAAACAGACAGCAGGCAATCATCAACATAGAAATTGTTCTGCACTGCACACACGGCCATGGGTAGCACCTTAGCTGTGGCATCTTCTGCAGTTTTCTTTAAAGCAAAGTTAGCGCAACTGGGGGAAGATGTTGCACCAAACAAATGCACTGTCATTTTGAACTCTTGCAAGGGCTCATCCAAGTTTCCTTCAGGCCACCAGAGAAAGCGTAGCATGTCAGTGTCCTCTGGTGGTACTTTAACCTGGTGATACATTGCCTCTATGTCTGACATTAAAGCAATGTGATCGTGTCTGAAGCGTGTTAAAACGCCAATAAGTGTGTTCGTCAAATCAGGACCTTGTAAAAGTTCCTGGTTCAAGGATTTTGACTGGTACGAGACAGTACAATCAAAAACAACACGAATCTTTCTTTTCTGTGGGTGGTGCACCCCATGATGAGGTATGTACCATCACGTTCAAGTTGTTCTTGTGTCAAAGGTACTGCATATTCTTTGTCTATTAAGTCAGACATAAACATTGTGTACTCTTTGTGTAAGTTGCTGTCCTTGAGCATTTTTCTTTTAAGGCTTTGTGCTCTCTGTACCACTACTGAGCGGTTATTTGGTAATTTGACTGACTTGTTCTTTAAAGGGAGGCCAATACAATAATGACCATCAACCTTCTTAACAGTGTCTTTGATCTCATACTTCTCTTCTGAAGCCTTTTCTGGAAAGTCATGGTTGATCTGTTTTAAACACAGTGTTTCTATTTCTGACATAGAAATGTGA